TTAAAAATGATTAAGTGCAATAGAGATTGTAATGATGCTATAAATAGGGATAACGTTAGGGTATGACTGGCATAATTGGCTCTCATCGGTGAAAATTCAGACGAAGCAGATGCAATAATCTATACAGACGGATCCGTTATACGCCAAAGAAGAAGCGCATGGGCATTTACAGCACGCTCAGCGGGCAGAACAGTCAAAGAAGCCAACGGCGCCTTCTCCATGACAACCAGCAGCATGACGATGGAGGTGATGGCAGTGACACAAGCGCTTGCCTGGCTTGAAACACAAAAATACACCCGCGTGTGTATACTCAGTGATTCAATGAGTATGATCCGGAGGGTTCAGGCAGGTTCAGTGCGAAGACAATGGCTTGAATCATTACAGAAGTCCACTGTCCGTGGAGTCACCTTTATTTTTGTTCCGGGACACGCAGGCGTCGATGGAAATGAAAGAGCTGACAGGTTGGCTGGATCCGCTATCACTACCGACGGTCAGCCTATGGATCATGCTGATATTATCAATGCCCTCAGAGAAATGGGAAGGATAGACGACTTTGGTGGCAGTGAATCCACATCACTCGCCAGAATGGCAGACTTGGGAATTAAGATCGGCACAGCAAAAAACGAGACGCACACCAGCTACGCCAGAAGACTTGTTAATCAACATAGAACTGGTACTATTAGCCATCGGACGTTGGGGTTCATACTGAGGGGAGGATCTGAGCACCTATGGACATGTCCGGAGTGCAATGAGGATAACCCAACTAACTAACTAACTAACTAACTAACTAACTAACTAATTGGGTAAGTCCTTGATAGCATGGGTTTCATGGAGATATGGTGAAAAGACAAGAGTGAGTGAGTCATGTGTGAATGCGAGATCTGGGGGGATTGAGAATAAGGTGGTCATTCGGTGACTGGGCCCCAGACTGGAAGGATGTGAAGCTGAAACTGTGTATGTGAATTCAGAATGAGAAGTGCACATGTGGATCTGAGTCGAATGAATGTTAGTGCTGAACCACAAGACAGGCAGCGCTATTGAATGATCGTTTAGGCCAGCCGTTGTGTTTCACGGTATGTTTGTTGAGCCAGCCGTGCACATGCCAGTGTCCATCGTCTGGAGCATGGCTAGAGACTCAGTGCGTGACCAAGGCGAGATTGCCCGAATGGCGTAAGTTGGTTCATCTGTTGATTCGTGTCGCTTGTGTTACATTGACAATAAACCTGTGAAATGCGTCAGCTGTCGTCGACAGTCATTTAAAGTTGTGTGGCCGTGGAGAGAAGTGCCGTCTGGCTAGAATGAACTGTGACCTAACAACTATACAACAGTCAGTGTTGAATCTGCACGAGAGAGTTTAAGTGTGGAGGAGACACATTACAGAAAAGTACCAGTGTATAGGGGCTGACTAGCACTCATCTGAAACTGACAGACACCGTTAGACAGAGCGACTGGGCATGATGAGGGTAGTTCTAAATGTAATCACTGGAACATCATCACTGGAACATCATCACTGGAACATCATCACTGGAACATCATCACTGGAACAACATCACTGGATCATCATCACTGGAACATCATCACTGGAACATCATCACTGGAACATCATCACTGGAACATCATCACTGGAACATCAACACTGGAACATCGTTACTGGAACATCATCACTGGAACATCATCACTGGAACATCAACACTGGAACATCATCACTGGAACATCATCACTGGAACATCAACACTGGATCATCATCACTGGAACATCAACACTGGAACATCATCACTGGAACATCATCACTGGAACATCATCACTGGAACATCATCACTGGAACATCATCACTGGAACATCAACGCTGAGAGTTGGACCACCTTTTCTCAGTTAGTCCTGTTGGCCATGCATTATCTGGTCACCTTGAATCACACAGCACTAGAACGGAACAATTTCTGTTGCATCTTTAACTCGTATTTGGAAAAAAGGGACAGAATCGGACAATAGCAGCAGCCATTCTTTGAAAACATGGATTGGAATTTCTCTGCAGGAACACAGTTGATTTTGATAACAACTTTAGCCATTCCCCACAAACATGAAGTGGATTTTGATAAGGAATTCACCTATTCTTTACAAACATGGCATGACATTCAATGACAAACTATAGAATTAGACAACAAACTTACCCTGAGAGAGTGGTTCCATGAAGGTTTCACAAATTCGGGTCGGTCGGGATCTTGCGTGACTGGGTTTAGTTTGCTCCTGATAAAGTCAAAAACAAGAAAGTCTAGAAACTTGTGTGCAACAGACATGTCAACACTGCACTCCTGATGAAGTCAAAAACTAGAAAGTCTAGAAACTTGTGTGCAACAGACATGACAACACTGCACTAATGATGAAGTAAAAAAAAAACAAGAAAGTCTAGAAAATTGTGTGCAACAGACACGACAACACTGCACTCATGATAAAGTCAAAAACTAGAAAGTCTAGAAACTTGAGTGCAACAGACATGTCAACACTGCACTCATGATGAAGTAAAAAAAAAAAACAAGAAAGTCTAGAAACTTGTGTGCAACAGACATGACAACACTGCACTAATGATGAAGTGAAAAAAAAACGAGAAAGTCTAGAAACTTGAGTGCAACAGACATGTCAACACTGCACTCATGATAAAGTCAAAAACTAGAAAGTCTAGAAACTTGTGTGCAACAGACATGTCAACACTGCACTAATGATGAAGTGAAAAAAAAACGAGAAAGTCTAGAAACTTGAGTGCAACAGACATGTCAACACTGCACTCATGATAAAGTCAAAAACTAGAAAGTCTAGAAACTTGTGTGCAACAGACATGTCAACACTGCACTCATGATAAAGTCAAAAACTAGAAAGTCTAGAAACTTGTGTGCAACAGACATGTCAACACTGCACTCATGATAAAGTCAAAAACTAGAAAGTCTAGAAACTTGTGTGCAACAGACATGTCAACACTGCACTCATGATAAAGTCAAAAAACTAGAAAGTCTAGAAACTTGTGTGCAACAGACATGTCAACACTGCACTCATGATAAAGTCAAAAAACAAGAAAGTCTAGAAACTTGTGTGCAAAAGACATGTCAACACATGTGGCACAGTCGTGCCTTCACATCCCCCAAGAAATAGATGTGCCTAGTTCAGCCAAGTTTAATATATATAACTTCTAAACGAAGTACAGCTCTAGTTTTCCTGACTGGTCTCTCAAGCGGTACAGTTCTAACTGTTCTCTCACTTCAGGTGCTGGCTACTCACTTCCCCTCGCTTTCCCGCTCTTTCTGGCGTGCCTTCTCAATCACTCCCCTGTCACCTGTCTTTGGTGGTCACGTTTGGATGAACGTATCTCTTCAGCTGGTCACAGTGCATCGCGTTGCTCACCTCCCTCTCTATCGTATGTTTCCATCCTTCACTGTCAGATATCATGGTTTACCATGATAACTGCACTCAATTCAACTCTGGTCATCGTGCAGATGTTCTGTATCGCTGGCCAGGCCAGCTTTCTAATCACCGTTTTCTGTCATGCCAGCGAGTGAGGGATAGACGTATTTTTATGCTGTTCTGAAATGCATGCTTTATTCGTTTAACCCCTTTCTGCCTATATTTCATTACACACAACACTCATGATAAAGTCAAAAAACTAGAAAGTCTAGAAACTTGATTGCAACAGACATGTCAACACTGCACTAATGATGAAGTAAAAAAAAAAAACAAGAAAGTCTAGAAACTTGTGTGCAACAGACATGACAACACTGCACTAATGATGAAGTAAAAAAAAACCGAGAAAGTCTAGAAACTTGTGTGCAACAGACATGTCAACACTGCACTCATGATGAACTTAAATAAAACGAGAAAGTCTAGAAACTTGTGTGCAACAGACATGTCAAAACTGCACTCATGATAAAGTCAAAAAACAAGAAAGTCTAGAAACTTGTGTGCAACAGACATGACAACACTGCACTAATGATGAAGTAAAAAAAAAAACAAGAAAGTCTAGAAACTTGTGTGCAACAGACATGACAACACTGCACTAATGATGAAGTAAAAAAAACAACTAGAAAGTCTAGAAACTTGTGTGCAACAGACATGACAACACTGCACTAATGATGAAGTAAAAAAAAAAACTAGAAAGTCTAGAAACTTGTGTGCAACAGACATGACAACACTGCACTCATGATGAAGTCAAAAACTAGAAAGTCTAGAAACTTGAGTGCAACAGACATGTCAACACTGCACTCATGATAAAGTCAAAAAACTAGAAAGTCTAGAAACTTGTGTGCAACAGACATGTCAACACTGGACTCATGATAAAGTCAAAAAACTAGAAAGTCTAGAAACTTGTGTGCAACAGACATGTCAACACTGCATTCATGATGAAGTCAAAAACTAGAAAGTCTAGAAACTTGAGTGCAACAGACATTTCAACACTGCACTCATGATGAAGTAAAAATAGCTCAGTTTTTGTCTACATGATGCCAAGTATATTTACCAACTGTTTCTATAATTAGTGCGGAGGCGCAGACAGATGATTAAGATCTTAGGAGAATGGCGCTGCAAGGAGTTACCACGGGATCTGGCCGATGCTCAACACTCAGGGGAAGGATGAAACAAAAATACAATCAGATGGTTACTAGTACCATCAGAATCGGAACTCTCCACTTGCTGCTGAAAATGGGGAAGGAGCACTTATGGGAATGTCCCGAATGCTGTGATGTTGATTCTTAATTCAGCACTAAACATTCAACATTCTATAATTATTGGTTATGTCCGTGTGCATAATCATCTAACAGGACTGAAAAGACAAACCGTCTTCTTGAGTGCCGGGACCATGAGACTTCAAATATAATCAACTGACAATCAATCATAAAAGTGAAATAAAAAGCTACCTATAAATGTTCACACGACTGAAACAGACAACAGCCTGACAAATGATGATATCAGTGTAACATGCTGACAATCTGGCACAATGAGAGAAACTTGGCTTCTCTTACCTAAACAATATGAGGACACAATCCATAATTCTCATGATCAGATGAGGGGGCTTGCCAAGCCTCCTGACTGTGGCAATGTGGGCTGGCTTGATGGTGTTCAGGGCTGCCTCTGCTTCCTCCAGTGCAGGTCGAGCAGCCTCTAACTTCTCCATAGCAATGGCCTTATCTGTGGCTATACTGTTCACAATGTTTTCAGCCTTGTCCTTGACCTTTTGAACTTGGTTCTTGACCTTTTCTGCTGCTTGAGCCTTTAAAGAAAAAACAACATTAGATTCAACCACTGTATTGATCACACATGATGTGTGGCTAGTCAACTGGTTAAGATGGTGTTTTATAGATAGATGTTCAGCTTTTGATCATATTTGCTTTATCTAACATTCTCAGTTTTGTTTTATCTAAAACCAGAAAATGGGTGTTTGTAGTTTAGTGATAACTTTTTATTGGTAATTGTTTAGTGGTAACTGTTTATTGGTAACTGTTTATTAGTAACTGTTTGTCATTTTGAATGTTTCATTGCTGCATCCAGCAGCACCGAAATGAGTTCCGTCAGAGTTAAATATTCAAAGATTGATATAAGAAACTAATATAGTTGAGTAAGAAATATCTGGCAACACAGATACAAACTTGTATGGGACAACACTTGACAAACAATCTGGCAACATAGATACAAACTTGTATGAGACAAGACTTGACAAACAATCTGGCAACATAGACACAAACTTGCATGAGACAACACTTAACAAACATTTACTTGAATCAGCAGACACAACAATGTATAGACAGACACTTGCTTGAGTGAGTAAAAATTCTGAAGACACAGATACACAAGTGAGTAAAATACTGAAGGAACTTACTTGAACTGTAACCTGTTTCAGCACAGCTTCAGCTCTCTCGGAAGCAATGGCAAGTTCCTTCTCTTTGACCGCCAGTTCCTTGCTCAGTTCTGCCACAGCCTGGGAAGCCTCCACCAGTCTCTCCAAACCTTCAGAGGAAAACATTCTAGCAGTCAGTATATATGTAAATGTTGAATTTTGAATTAAGAATCGACATAACAGCACTTGGGACAATCCCAAAAGTGCTCCAACCCCATCCTTAGCAGCAAGCAACCAGTTCCATTTCTGATGGTACCAGTACCTGTCTGATTGTATATCTGTCTCACCCCCTTCCCTGAGTGTTGAGCATCGACCAAATCCCCTGGTTTACTCCTGGCAGCTATCCCTACTTACTTGACCGGCATGGGCAGGTCATTGTCCTACGTCTCAGGACAGGACATAACAAACTTAACCAGCATATGCACAGGTTTCGTCTCAGTAGTTCACCTTCGTGCCCTTGTGGGCTGTGTGTGCAGACTACAGAACATGTCCTGTAAGAATGTCCCTTGTTCAGCCCATTAAGAAAGGAATACTGGCCCAGTGAGTCACCACTATACGCAAAGTTGTGTGGGACTAAAAAGGAACTCATAAAACCAGTCAAGTTTATCACAAGAACCTGTCTGTCGGTGTAAATCAGAAAGCGAACACAAGAAGAAGAAGAGCTATCCCTCATCAAAGTTTGACTATAAATGACTGAAACGAGACTACTTCACAATGTTATCTATCTAACTTCAGATAAATCTAATAAACACATGCTTTATTCAAATGTGAGACTTTTAAAGCCGTAAATCATGTTGGCATGCCTGTAGAATATAACTCAGCGGCCATTCTGTTTTCAAACAAACACTTAGTAATTAAGTAAACCTTGAAAATATACTATTTATTTTAGGCTTTTAACCACGTTTCCAAATGAGGCTGATGATCAGTAGGCCTGATATCAACATAGAGAACCGGAAAGGAAGATGAAATTAAGAACTCCGTTTTTTATTACTGGTCAGTGGTCAATTAAACACCTTCACTTGTCATGCGTCGATTGGGCAGCTGGGTTGTAACCAATTAGGGCGTGATGTTTTCCTTGGGACTTGAAGAAGTAATATTGCTTTTTTTCCCTTAACACTCACCAGTTGTAAACTCTGGCAGAAAGCCTATTCTTTGTTCTTGAAAATGGAGCCCCAGAACCCTTATGGGGATGTAAATATCTTATACATCATCCATAAAACCATCAACCCATCTATCAAGCTGTCTGTTTGTTTACACCCTCTGCCTGCCTACAGCCACACTGACAACATGGAATTTTGGTTCACATTTATGGTTATGTCTGAGGAGTTCAACAAAGTTCTCAATGTTTAGCTGAATATGTCACTAGGACAATGTTATGCTTTACCTGTGTTATAATATATAACCTTGAAATTAATGTCTGCATCTGATGGACTTGCATCTCCATATCTTTGTCACATAGCAAGTCCTTTAAAGAATGTCGTTCCTTTCACAGCCCACTTGTAAGAAACTCTGTCCCTGGCCAGCTCTCCTGCCTCATGGGCTTTCCTGCCCACTGTGTCTCTGATGTCACGTGTCCACCTATGTGTTATTCTGTTCCTTTTACTCTCCATTACTGTCCTTTCCAAGTTATTGTGACATCTGATTTGGCCAAAGTATTTCAGTTTTCATTCATCCCTAAAAGATTGATAGTCCACCCTTGAAATAATATTTCCATCTGACACACTTTCATCCTGACTAGATTGAACACTTTTATTTTGTGTCTCCAAATTTAAAAAAAAAATTCAGTGCCAGGAAAAATATCTTTGAACATTTAAAAATAAGAGGATATATTTTATTGCACAATGTTTTTTCCTGACGTGGTTCAGTCTCTTTCTAAAGAATAGTTGGTTGCCTTTTACGAGCAGACATAAGGCACAAATTCCATATCTCTAGCAATGATTGCTAAGTATCTCTATTAAAATGTCGCCCGTGAACCAAAACACAGTAATGTGAAAATGAACCCACAACACACATAGAACAAGTAAAAAAGCTTGATAACTGTGCACAACGAGTTGAGTTAACTGGCATCACAACACTCAGGACTTTCCCATTTGCACTTTGTACCCATATTAACATAGTTCTGACAGAATCAGTAGCAGTCTGATTGTATGTCCATCTTGAATTTCCCCTGAGTGTTGAATGTTGACTTAATCGCCAGGTCAGTCCACACAGCACCATTCACTTAAGACTGTGACAATCTCTTTGTACTCCCACACTGTTCCCTTGCTCCCCAAGAGCCTTGACCACATTTAGCTCATTATTCCTGAATCTACCATGAACATTAGAAATGTTGCCAGAGTGATCTCCCCTTAATGATGCAAGAGGTGACATAAATATTTTGATTATTTATAAAATAAATTTGTAGTGTGAATAGAAAGACTAATATGGCAACCAATCAAACATTGTCTTGTGTTAAACATATGTCTGCTTGTCACTAATTCCTGTTTACCTGTATCCATTCTGTTGGCCATTTCTTTGATTGTGTCTTTTTTGTTCTTGTACACATTCTTATAGCCACTGATAAAGGACAGATAGGACTTTGGGGTCACATGGGTGGCTCTACGATATCTGCAGATTCACAATTTATAATGTATTATGGTGAAATTTTATAAATTCAGCATATCACACACTATACTAATGATTTAACTAACTAACTAATTAACTAAATAACTGACTGACTGACTAATCTAACTTTTGAAAGTAATCAATGCAACTCTCAGTGACTCCATCATTAATTTTCTGCTGACTAACTAATTAACTGGCTAACTGACTGAATAACTAACCAACCTCTGGAAGTAATCAATGCAACTCTCAGCGACTCCGTCATGGATGATCCCCATGGTATGAATGACCTGCTTCTTCACGTCCTCGCTACAAACAAGGTCAAATTGCTGCAGGAAGTGGTCAGCCACAGCAATCAGGGCATCTTTTGGCCAGCGCTGGAACCAGTCCATGGTGCAACCAGAAATGAGTCCTGGAAACTTGAGAGCTCTTTGTCGGAACTTCTCTCCCACCTGGTTGAGAATACATGCTATTGTAATACATATTCTTGTTATGGAGGTTACTTTAATACATGTTATCATAATACATATTATTGTATCAGTTATCAGCTGAGGTGAGAAAGTGTCTCCGACCTGGGTGAGAATACATGTCGCTGGATTGGTTACTAGCTTTTGATCAAACAAGTTCTTTCTTGGTTTCTTGTTCGTAAGAACTGAAATCATAGCACTTCAGTCAAATCAAAAAATGCTCTATATCACTCAACAAACTTAGCTGCCAGTAGTTGAGAATACATGACACAGGATGAAATATCAACTGCTTTTCTAAACATTGGCTTCTTTCAGTTTCTTGTTCAAACCTAAATAATAGGACGTCAGGTAAACCTGTAGGTGCTCCATTATTATAATTGTAATACTGTTCCTGAAGTCAGATAACAGAGAGACAAAAACTGTCAACATAAAAGAGTTGGATGTGATTAGATCACAAGGCAGACCAGAAAGAGAAAGCCAATCAGAGAGATGATGGAGTAGAGATGAGTGATATCTTCAGTAATAAACCTCAACGACTGAGAATGATAAAGAAGAAGAAAAAGAAGATAAACAAGACGCACAGGTGATTAACAAGATGCACAGGTGATTAACAAGATGCACAGGTGGTATACAAGATGCACAGGTAATATACAAGATATACAGGTGATAAACAAGATGCACAGTTGGTATACAAGATGCACAGCAAGATGTACAGGTGATATACAAGATGTACAGGTGATAAACAAGATGTACAGGTGATAAACAAGATGCACAGGTGGTATACAAGATGCACAGGTGGTATACAAGATGTACAGGTGATAAACAAGATGCACAGGTGGTATACAAGATGTACAGGTGATAAACAAGATGTACAGGTGATAAACAAGATGCACAGGTGGTATACAAGATGCACAGGTAATATACAAGATGTACAGGTGATAAACAAGATGTACAGGTGATAAACAAGATGCACAGGTGGTATACAAGATGCACAGGTAATATACAAGATGTACAGGTGATAAACAAGATGCACAGGTAATATACAAGATGCACAGATGATATACAAGATGCACAGGTGATATACAAGATGCACAGATGATATACAAGATGCACAGGTGATAAACAAGATGTACAGGTGATAAACAAGATGCACAGGTGGTATACAAGATGCACAGGTAATATACAAGATGTACAGGTGATAAACAAGATGCACAGGTAATATACAAGATGCACAGGTGATATACAAGATGCACATATGATATACAAGATGCACAGATGATATACAAGATGCACAGGTGATAAACAAGATGTACAGGTGATATACAAGATGCACAGATGATATACAAGATGCACAGGTGATATACAAGATGCACAGATGATATACAAGATGCACAGGTGATATGCAAGATGCACATGTTAAAAACAAGACAAGCAGGTGATAAACACTACACACAGGTGATAAAATAACAAGTGAGAGAAAAAATATACACTGGTGACATGTCGGAGAGACAACTGACATACAGGTGATACAATTGAACAAACAGATGAGACAACTGACATACAGGTGATACAATTGAACAAGCAAATGAGACAACTGACATACAGGTGATATAACTGAACAAACAGATGAGACAACTGACATACAGGTGATACAACTGAACAAACAGATGAGACAACTGACATACAGGTGATACAATTGAACAAACAGATGAGACAACTGACATACAGGTGATACAATTGAACAAACAGATGAGACAACTGATATACAGGTGATACAGTTAAACAGATGAGACAACTGATATACAGGTGATACAATTGACCAAACAGATGAGACAACTGACATACAGGTGAGAAAAATTACTTACAGGAGAGAAACACAGGGACAGATGCAGGTTAGCCCTCACACGGGTCAGGTAGTATTCATACAAGTTCTCGTTGCTGGGTGGACGTTTAGGGAACTCTTTTTTCATAACTGGCACCAGCTCTCCAAGAATCTCATCGAGTTCATCTCTAGCAAACAGGTTAGACACCTGACACATGGACAAAGTTCAAGGTTAAAAGGTTAAAAGTTAAAGTCAAGAGGATCTATTTCATTGCACCGGGTTTTATCCCATAAGGCCCTTGCAATGCTGTGCTGTGAAGATACAGAGGTGAACTCCCACCTGCAATGCTGTGTTGTGAAGATACAGAGGTGAACTCCCACCTGCAATGCTGTGCTGTGAAGATGCAGAGGTGAACTCCCACCTGCAATGCTGTGCTGTGAAGATGCAGAGGGCTCAAAAAGGTCAAGACCTATCTACACCTATCTGCTCTCATCCTAGAAACAGCTTTCCTACCATAGATCTGGCAAATGTAGGCAGGATAGGCAAATGTAGATAGGATAGGCAAATGTAGGCCGGATAGGCAAATGTGGATATGATAGGCAAATGTAGATAGGATAGGCTAAAGTAGATATGATAGGCAAATGTAGGCAGGATAGGCAAATGTGGATGTTTCCTTTAAAGTTCTAGCGCTTTACCTGGAAGATGAGAAACTAACAGACTGTATACAAATGAGCCAGATCTGGAAAACAGATGTAAATTTCACACCTTCCTTCTCCCTCACTCCTAATTATCTACATTATACCATCCTTGCCCACAATTTAATAATTATTAACCTTCTTTTTTTTTAAAGGATAGAGAAAAAAAGCAAAAGAAAGGAAAGGGGCAAAAATATGTTTAAAAAAATAGAAATGAAATTAGATGGACGATATGGAAAGAGGTAAAATGCAAAGTTAATGAAAAGGAAGAAAATAAACAAATATGAGCAATGAAATTGGTGATGAAGAAAATAGTTTAGGGACAATTAACAAAAGAAGAATTAAATAAATAAAAGGAAAGTCTAAAAAATGTGAGGAAAATTTTAAAACAACATTTAAAAGATGTGAGGAAGTATGGAAGGAAAGAGATCAATTTCACAGCCAATGACAAAGGAATGAAGGAAGAGAGATATAAAAATAAGAAGAAAGGTAGCATTTTCTGGATAAGTTAGCGGCAGACGTTCGTCACAAGAGGCAAGCCAGTTACTAACCACACCCGAGGACAACATGTTGTTGAGGTACTCCAGAAATCCCTCGTCCTTGATCTCCTGGTCTGTGAAGATGAAAGTGATGCCCTTGCCTTGTTGGCCAGCTGTCCTGTACAGAGACTTGAGGTCTTCCAGCAGGTTGGACACGTTGTAGGATCTGATCAACCATATGTGTGTATTAAATATGTATGTATACACACACCCACAAACTCACTCATGCATTCACTCATGCACACATAGAAACATACACAAATTTTTTTTTTTTGGTTCTTAAACAATTTATAAAATACAGTCTCACTCAATAAAAAAGAGACAAAAGATGTTATGTGTTACATAACTGCATTACTTATAGTATATACCAAGTTGGTGTGGTACAATGGGTTGGCAGAAGGGGGATGAAATGTACTAGAAATAAAAGGAGTCAATTTTAGTTGAAGACTCACACTTGTTACTTTCAGTGGTATAATTTTCTTTAGCCTCAGGTGAATCATGTCACTTTCCATGGGGTCACTGTCTCTAGCCTCAGGTGAATCATGTCACTTTCCATGGGGTCACCGTCTCTAGCCTCAGGTGAATCATGTCACTTTCCATGGGGTCACTGTCTCTAGCCTCAGGTGAATGATGTCACTTTCCATGGGGTCACTGTCTCTAGCCTCAGGTGAATGATGTCACTTTCCATGGGGTCACTGTCTCTAGCCTCAGGTGAATGATGTCACTTTCCATGGGGTCACTGTCTCTAGCCTCAGGTGAATGATGTCACTTCCATGGGGTCACTGTCTCTAGCCTCAGGCGAATCATGTCCCTTTCCATGGGGTCACTGTCTCTAGCCTCAGGTGAATGATGTCACTTTCCATGGGGTCACTGTCTCTAGCCTCAGGTGAATGATGTCACTTTCCATGGGGTCACTGTCTCTAGCCTCAGGTGAATCATGTCACTTTCCATGGGGTCACCGTCTCTAGCCTCAGGTGAATCATGTCACTTTCCATGGGGTCACTGTCTCTAGCCTCAGGTAAATGATGTCACTTTCCATGGGGTCACCGTCTCTAGCCTCAGGCGAATGATGTCACTTTCCATGGGGTCACTGTCTCTAGCCTCAGGCGAATGATGTCACTTTCCATGGGGTCACTGTCTCTAACCTCAGGTGAATCATGTCACTTTCCATGGGGTCACTGTCTCTAGCCTCAGGTGAATGATGTCACTTTCCATGGGGTCACTGTCTCTAGCCTCAGGTGAATCATGTCACTTTCCATGGGGTCACCGTCTCTAGCCTCAGGCGAATCATGTCTATTCTCTAATGCATATTTGATGTAAAGCTTTGTTTAGAGAAATGAACACTCATCCTAGATCTGGCGGACATTCTTGAATGAATCAATCAATTAAGAATTAACATCACAGCACTTGGGACATTCCCACACATGCTCCGTCCCCTTCTTCAGAAGCCAATGAAGAGTCAACATGCTAATAGTACCTGTTGCAACATGATTAAAATCCGCCTATGCTATTCCTGTAGTGTTGAAACTCCACCCACCTCCTGCTGAATTATTCTTTCAAGGAAAGGATTGTCTGTCTGGTCTAATGCATTGCCCAGAGATCCTTCACCATGTCCACTTTATCATAAAGTAGGTCAATGCCCAGAGATCCTTCACCATGTCCACTTTATCATAAAGTAGGTCGATGCCCAGAGATCCTTCACCATGTCCACTTTATCATAAAGTAGGTCAATGCCCAGAGATCCTTCACCATGTCCACTTTATCATAAAGTAGGTCGATGCCCAGAGATCCTTCACCATGTCCACTTTATCATAAAGTAGGTCGATGCCCAGAGAAGCAGCAGCAGCTAATCTATCAGCCTGCCCATTAACTGGCACACCTGAATATTATGGACAGAAAAAGCGTGATATGCTTGTGATCTGAGTCTCATGAAGTGACGAAAGTCACTCTGTGTGTCTCATCAAGTGATGAAAGTCACTCTGTGTCTCATCAAGTGATGAAAGTCACTCTGTGTGTCTCATCAAGTGATGAAAGTCACTCTGTGTGTCTCATCAAGTGATGAAAGTCACTCTGTGTGTCTCATCAAGTGATGAAAGTCACTCTGTGTGTCTCATCAAGTGATGAAAGTCACTCTGTGTGTCTCATCAAGTGATGAAAGTCACTCTGTGTGTCTCATCAAGTGATGAAAGTCACTCTGTGTGTCTCATCAAGTGATGAAAGTCACTCTGTGTGTCTCATCAAGTGATGAAAGTCACTCTGTGTGTCTCATCAAGTGATGAAAGTCACTCTGTGTGTCTCATCAAGTGATGAAAGTCACTCTGTGTGTCTCATCAAGTGATGAAAGTCACTCTGTGTGTCTCATCAAGTGATGAAAGTCACTCTGTGTGTCTCATCAAGTGATGAAAGTCACTCTGTGTGTCTCATCAAGTGATGAAAGTCACTCTGTGTGTCTCATCAAGTGATGAAAGTCACTCTGTGTGTCTCATCAAGTGATGAAAGTCACTCTGTGTGTCTCATCAAGTGATGAAAGTCACTCTGTGTGTCTCATCAAGTGATGAAAGTCACTCTGTGTGTCTCATCAAGTGTTGAAAGTCACTCTGTGTGTCTCATCAAGTGATGAAAGTCACTCTGTGTGTCTCATCAAGTGATAAAAGTCACTCTGTGTGTCTCATCAAGTGATGAAAGTCACTCTGTGTGTCTCATCAAGTGATGAAAGTCACTCTGTGTGTCTCATCAAGTGATGAAAGTCACTCTGTGTGTCTCATCAAGTGATGAAAGTCACTCTGTGTGCAGGATTCCAGTTTCAATTTTCTGAAGCATGCTCTGTGAGTCCATTACAGTGACACCATCTTGGACTGTGCTGCTCTCAAGGCATCAGAAAGCTACCATTACTGCCTCCACCTCCATTCTCATACTGGACGTAGTAGTTCTGTGCACAAGGTTCTCTGTTTTCAACCCCACCCCCTCTTCTTATCTCTCACTACAGACCCATATATATATATATTTATATATAGTGTCACAGGAGCGTGAATTTACATTGAACAGCTTTGGCACCGCTGATTCTGCCTCACCAGCTATCCATTTCCAGCATCCTCAGTCCCAAGTAATTATCACTTCATGCAAGGTTGTATTGCTGTGCGACACTGCAATCCATTCCTCACATTTAACTACATAATTCTTTAGACTGTTTATTAATCAACTCTCAAAAAAGGCAAACTGTTAGATAAAGAATACGTGTAGGGTTGCATGAATCTGGAAATAAATGTGGATTTATTAGGAAAGGATGAATATTCATGAAGACGAGTGAAGTTTTTAAAATGAGAGTGCCTGACCTTGTCAAGGTGATCTGGAAGGTTTTGTACCCTGCGATGAAAGAAGCTAGCCTGGTCAGAGACTGCTTGCCTGACCCGCCGACCCCAACCAGTAGGGCATGACCTCTTGGTGTTCTGATAATGCGGGATATCTTGACCAGATGGACCATAGCATCCTTGAAGAAGACCAGATCCATGCCAGCACCCCTGACGCTGTCGTTGTACTGATGCAGGAAGGTGGTCAGTCTCTCCTCCAGCTGATGGAAACTCTCAATCTGTGATCAGAATGCAGAGTTACTGGTCTTTTCTGTCTCCTCTCATTGTTCTAAATAGTAAGTAAGTAAAGATCCCTTTTCACGCCTTAGGCACATTGGGCATATGGGAAGAGCACCCATATTTTTACAGACCCCTCGGCACTAGCTGGGTAATGTGGTCAGTATTATGCCGGCCAACTTTACTTCCCCAGGATATACAACCTGGTACCAACTTTAGACTGGATCAACCTGCGACGCCCCATACCATGATACAAATCCTTGCAGCCAGCATGGGTTTCGATCATAGTACGTTGTAATTACGAGTCAGACTCGTAAGGCCTAAGCCACGGATGCCGCGCAATTGTTCTAAATCCCTCCTCCTAATTCTCTCTACTCTTCTGCTTCTTCACCACTTATTCCTTCTCTACTTCTTCCAGCAATATGTGATACATAAAGATTACAAACAAATTATTGATAAAATGAGATATGTTTAAAGTGGACATAATAATTTTAAGATAAAATATTTTAAGAAGATATTGAACACAGAAGGTGACAAAGCTAGAGAAATTATACAACTGCCAATAATAAAGTTCAGAGATAATTCAGTATAAACAGATACTGAAAACAAACTGAAATATATGAATCAAATTTTAAAGAGACTCTTGACACTCACAGGTTCATAAATTTTGGGCATATCAAAATCTGTATCTTCAGGCTCTTCTCCAGTTGCTTCAGGAGCATCTCTAAGAAAAGAAACCCAAAAAAGGATGGCTGAATAGCAAACACTAGTTTCCACATTGCCAGGAAAAAAGTTACTAGCATGATTACATGTGAGCTTATCTAAAAATATTTACAATTCTGAATTTTAGAAAATATAATTCTCAGTTTTTCTTTTTACAAATTGTACTTTACTTAAAAAAATAAAAGCTCAATTTTCTAGCAATTTTAGCAGGGGAAATAATTCTTATAATAAAATTTTATATATAATGTGCATGGACATAGAGACTAAGTACTAGTCTACTAAATTAGTAGTCTTGGAATCAAATTCTTGTTGAACTGGAGCTGTGTTTAAATCTTTTCTTCTTCTTTTGTCATCTCACTGATACCAGGTTGTAGCCCAGTGTCATGGTTTTTCTGTATTTGTCTTGTACTTATCTGGTGGCTTCAGTGATGAATTTCTTCACCTTTTTGCAGGTTTTGGATAGATCATTTATCCACTTCTTTTTTTGTCTTCCTCTTGGCTGTTCTAATGTAAGTAGTCTCAATTGCAGTTTGGTCTGGCTGCATTCTCACTAGATGACCGAACCACTTTATTCCATGTCAATATTATCCAGACATGGTCTTATTCCAACATTCTCTCAAATGTGTTTAAATGACCACATAAAAAGATTTTTGCCTTTGAATTGTTTTTTTTTTTTCAAAAGCATCCATCTTCACATATTATCTCATCCACATTAAACATCCTCAGAGCTGCCTGGTTTTATTTTCTTGCACGGAATGCCCTACTTACTACTTAAATTTATAATGTTACTTGTTCCTACATGGCCCATCTTTCACTGTTCACAGGTCTACTGTTTTGGTTTTGGTCTCTTGACGAATTTCTAAGAAAACTATTTATTCCTAAAATTATCATCTCAGAAAAGGGGTGTTGCCTTTACACATGTAAATATGATAAATCATTGCTCATTTTTAAACTGAATTTTATCTTCATCTAGGAACTATAAAATAAGTTTTATAAACACAGTCCCTCTCTCTCTCTCTCTCTCTCTCTCTCTCTCTCTCTCTCTCTCTCTCTCTCTCTCTCTCTCTCTCTCTCTCTCTCTCTCTCTCTCTCTCTCTCTCTCTTGATGTCTGTCTCATCCACACTCATACATATGACTCATATTATAAATCTATTCTCACCTCTCAAAGCCCTATTATGTAACTGTCTGAATATAAGGTATAGATTTTAATTCTAAAAATAACAAAAACTAAATCCAGTTAATAAACAGTTGCTAAAAATTGAAAAGTGCTTAGGGTGCTTCAAGAAATAAGAAGTTTTAAATAATTAGGATTTGCAAGATTATAAAAATATTTTAAATGATTAGAAAATGTAAAATGTGATTAGGACATTTAAAGTAGTCATCAATCAGAATGTATGAAATTATTAGAAAATATCAACTAGTTCTTTAAAAAAAATTTTTTAGAAGTTAATTTCTGAGAAAACTTAAAATGATTAGAAATTTAAAAAAAACTACCACTATTTTTGGAATTAGATAACTTTTAGTAATAAATAATTCCACGTTCAATTTACTAGTAAAAACCTGGCGACAAGAATGGTTCTCAAAACAGCTCTGTCTGAGTCTATCATCTTATGTTATGTGACATCATCATAGTTGATGTCACTGCACATTGGGCATTTCTATGTGAGTGCTCTGGAAACAGCAGTTATCTCCGTGGTGGGCGACCATAGTCACAAATTTGTATTCACTCTTTTATTTACATTTTATCAAAGTTTTTGCTGTCGCCTTAGTTTTGTTTCTCTTCTGAGCATGTCCATGAATCTAAAGAATTATTGATGATGTGTCCAGCTTTCACACTCAGACAGGAGACTCGCTGACAGCAGAAATATGCGACAGCCTGGTTGTCAGACTTTCTTAGATACAGAAGGGAAATAAGTCATGCCCACCTCATGAAGTCAGTGAAATAAAAATTGTCAACCACCTGGTTTGCTGTGTCTTCATTAATTTCTTCAACGACAATCCTTTTCACAGTTTTCTCAAACCACTGAAGGTCATCAACCTTGACAAACCTGTAAGACATCATGCAACAAGCAAAACACCTACAGTTAGTTCACAGCATCTGCAGTTAGAGTGCACTTCTCATCACAAAAATGTTCAGTTTGTAAGTAAGCATCAACAAAAACCACAGCAAACAGGCAAAACTAAAGCATCACGTTTCTATTAAGCACAAAACAAGGTTAGCAAAGCTCCGGAGAAGTGCTCAAGCACTGAGAAATGCTGTAGAAGAAACTTGTCATAAAATTAGTTTTTCTCCACAAAAGAATTCAATTTAGCTGGAAGTTTTCAGCTGCATGGAAAAACATTACATGTTATTTGCTAAACTATCATGGTTTTAAATTACTAACATTGTAGGCAAAATAAAGCATTTTTTATTTCAATTTTAATGTGGCTTTTTCTTCTTAAAAGCCAGCTCTTTTCTGCAAAAAAAGTTTGTATTAGTCTAGAAGCGTTACAGTGTATGTACAAATAGTGCAAGTGCCAGCTAAACAAATATAACTACCATTACAGAAGTAAATATTAGTTTTGTGTCAATATAAACATCACTATGCCTATAAACATAACTAAAATATGTTTTTTTTTAAGTTAGTCCCATTATTCTTGGTCCGTAGAATACTGATATGTGTGTGACAGTTTAATTCCTAATTTTCATTTCCAGATATTATTAGATAATTTACAAACTACATACTGTATGAGCCTTGTCAGACACACAAAGAGGCCTACTTCTGCTAAGCATAAACCCAAACCCCAGTCTTATTGAGCAAGTACATTATTATGGCCCCAAAAAAGATAATTATAGATGATCCTTACAAATATTTCATCCAGAAATTATATTTGGTCCACACATGGGAGGAAATGACAGACATCTTTACAGCACCACAAGGAAATTAGTTGGTAAAATAGTCAACCAATTGGATCAATAAAAAATTGTCAAGGAAAGGTTCTCCCGAACACTAAAGATCAAAAAGACAGATGAGCTGAATGTTTTGAAGTACTTCTGAATAGACCTGCCCCCGAGGTCTCTCCAGATATCCAACCTTTAGGATTGGAACTGAATATTAACTGTGAGATGCCACTGAAAGTGGAAATTAGGAAAGTAATCAATCTACTGAAGGAAAGGAAGGCTTCAGGTCCAGATGATATCCCAGCAGAAGTTATCAAGACGAATATAAACACATCTATCGAACTGCTTCACAAACTATTCAGTAAAGTCTGGGATACAATAGAAATACCATCAAACTGGAGAGAAGCATTGCTTGTGAAACTGCCCACAAAAATGACCTGCAGGAATGTGAAAACTATAGAGGAACTACACTGCTGTCAGTTCCTGAATAAATATTGAGTAGGATTATTTTGGAAAGACTTAAAGATGTCATTGATAAACAGCTAAAGATAAATAGACAGGTTTTTGGCCTAACAGATCCTGTACAGATAAGACAGACCCACTATGCATAATAATATAGCAAAGCATCAAGTTTAATTCATCACTTTAAATTTGATTCATAGGCTATGAAAAAACCTTTGGTAAGACTGAAAGGGAATCTCTCTAGAAATTGATGAGGTACTATGTAATCCAAAAGAAAATTTTTAATTCAAATCTTTAGGAATGGAAATGGGTATAACTGTGAGATAACTCAGAAAGAACAAATTAGGAAAGCTATTAATCTACATTGTTGGCTTGTTGAGTAGATTAATAGCTAGGAAAGCTATTAATCTACTCAACAAGCCAACAATGTCGCATACCAGCTTGCCCCAATTTTAAAACACCCTGCTGTCCCAGCTGAGATAAAAAGACAAATTATAAATACAATCTTTATACCGACATTAGGTTTTCAATGTCAGACTTGAACATTAACAAAAGAACACGAGAGAAGACTAACCACCTGTGAAATGAGATGTTTGAGAATGGCTGCGAATAAAACCAGAAGAGATCGAGTGAAAAACGATGTGATTACAAGAACTATTGGAACCATACCTATCGTTAAATTTATTGAGAAGCAAAGAATGAAATCGTTTGGTCACCTAATGAGAATGGAACCAACGATGCCAGCATCAAGAGCATACAACATGAAAATCGAAACACCAAGAGGCAGGGGAAGACCAAGAAGAAGATGGATTGAAGGAGTCACGGACAACTTGAGACTTCATAACATCACGGCATATGAAGCGACTGAGCGTGCCCTGGCGCGGTTGCCGATCATCTGATAGACTGCGACGCCTAGCAGCACAAGCAGACTTTGACAAAAGAAGATTAATCTACTGAAGGGGGAAGGCTGCAGGTGCAAATGGTTTTTCAGATGAAGTTATTAAAGTCTAATGTAAACACATTTATGAACATGCTACACAAATTATTCAGTAAAGTCTGGGAGACCAAAGAAATACAAGCAAATAATGATTATTTAAAGCTGTATATCAGTGAAACTAGATCCCACTGATAGACATTTTGGGAAGTCAAAAGTTAATTCCATGGAAACCTAGAAAAAATCCAAAATTCCTTTAGTTGAAAAATGTTAGCGATGAGGTTATGTGCACCAGAAATGAAAGTGATCAAGTTCAGAAACAAAGTTCTATGAATATGATGGTGAGTGTCATTAATTGTTCCATTATTGTAAAATTAAGTTAAAACCATGGTAAGTCAATAAGCAGGTCACAAATGGTTGTTTTAAAAAACCCACTAAAATGATGACAACTTGAAAACCATTTATTTGTACACATTAACTGTACCTTTTTTTTTCAACATAATTTCTACCAACATTGATGCACTTGTCACATTATTTATCAGTCCTCCCAAACCTACTGTATAGAACTGCATGCTCTGTTTTCTAAACCACATTTTCACTTTACATTCAACTTCTGCGTCATTCACAAAATGACTCCCGCCAAGGTGGGTTTTCAGTGGACCAAAAAGGTGGAAATCGCTAGAGGCTAAGTCGGGGCTGTAAGGTGGATGTTCCAGAAGTTTCCACCCTAGATGGTTTATTTTCTCCTGAGTTAACCGAGCCGTGTGTGGTCTGACATTGTCATGAAGGAGCAGTACACCTCTAGTCAGCAGGCCTGGACATTTTTTTCTAATTACATCATGAAGCGTCCATAGAACTTTACAGTATGAATCAGTATTCATAATGTCTTCACTTTTTTTTTTTTTTTATTGGTTAAAAGCTCTCCTTGACAATCCCAGAAAAATGTCAGTTTAACCTTCCCTGTTGAGGGCATAACCTTGAAGGATGTTTCCATTGCACACTGAAGTAGGCTTTGATTCGCATTGGTAGTGATGCAACCACGATTCATCCCCAGTAATAATCCTGCTCAGCATCTCTTCACTTCATTGTATCAAAGACAAGCCTAATCAGTTTATTTTGTGTTTGTCCGTACATTGTCTGGGTACCCAGTTTGAGCACACTTTCTCAAATTTCAATCGATCATGCATTATATTGTATGCTGAACCACGTGAGCACCCTATTGCAGCTGCTACAGAGTCAACCGTTACTCGCCTGTAACCTCTAATCATCTCTTCCACTCACTGCACAGATGCGTCTGTTGTAATCTCAACAAGACAACCAGATTGGACTGCATCAACAATCATAGAAAAATTCGTTATTCAGCTATGCACAGCTTTACAGGATAAACATCTATATGCATAAACAGGAAGCATTTTCATATGAATGTCCTTTGCAGGCAGCCCTTTTGCAAAACAAAAAACAAAACAAAAAACGCAAAACAACACGTTCTTTGAGGGTACACTATGTAAGTACAGTTGCGATTTTGTTTCTGTGTTGCGCATGCACATGCAACACTTAGCGTCACCTCATGAACGGAGACATACAGTTTGATTTTGCTGTCTCCTAATGACACCTTTAGAGACCACCAACTACATTTCCTGGCATCCTATAACCATGTGTGACCTACTTGTTGACTTCTCCTTGTAATGCACAGGCAGCAACTAATGCTGGCAGTGGTGTTGAAGGTAAAAGCTACTTTACATAGCAGGGAAATCTGCATCAAATCTTTATACTTAATACTGAAGAAATCTGGATTCAAAATTTTAGCAATCTGGCATGTCTGATTCTATAAATAAATGGTACTACAACCAATCAAATTACTGCAGTGTTAATCTATCACAAGAAGCATGCTGTTAGTGATTAAGACACAAAAGTTTAAAAGAAAAAAAAAAGCATGGAAGAAAGTAAACAAGCGAACTTCACACAAATACACAAATGAAATAAAACATGCACAAGTCTCTCCTTGAAAGACTACCTCAGGAAATCAACAAAGTATTGTGTGGTTTCAAGATGGCCGGCTGCATCTTCACCTGACTCTTCATTGATGACCCTGGCCATGGTTTTAGTGAACCAGCCAGCATCATCGAAGCTGACAAACCTGCAAGAGTTTGGCACCAACATATTTGTTACTTGCTATTTAGAATGGAGACTATGGTGCTTACTCCATGTGCTGTGTCTTTCCTAGATTACGTCGAAGATGGCTAAAATATAGCCAATAAATTCACATGCTTCAGGCAAATAAAAGACTTAACAAATATATTTGCGAGGAAATAATAACATTAAATAACTATAATGTAGAAGAGAAACATAATTAAATTAGTCAGGCTATCAGGCTTAATAGGAAGTTAAGGGACATTAGTGAGACGAATGAACTGACGTGTCCAGTATCACAAAGGTTTACAGTGACAACAATAAGAAGTCATCGTTTTCACAAGAAGAGTCAGGGGGTGACCAGTACAATGGTGGAAATATGTCAGTAAAGAATCCCTTAGAAGAACTAGAGAGAGATTGAGAATATTTACAACAGGTTTTGATGCACAAGCTGCACAAGATTTGACAGATATACTAAGTGCACATTTCCCCAGATTTTTGTGTTGACATGAACTGTTCTGTTTCACTTCTACTCAGACAATAACTCAGGCCAAATCACAGACCAAAACTGGAAAAAAACATTTTACTGACATTGTTGGTAACATTAAATAAACTTTCTAACATTGAAGAACAGACACACACTAAATTATAAAATAGATATACTAACATAATATCAAGTCAGAAAAATACATTCAGTCATAAATAAATGTTCTGCTTTAACATCACTTTAAAGAGATAATTTTACACGCCTAAAATAAAAATGATTATCATCAGAGATGTCTAGCAAAATAAAGACAAATAACCTTGATCATCCAAGTCATCATTGTGTTGACATTGTGTCTACTTGAAGTTTTCTGTGATGACTGTAATTGTTTTTCTACATAGACACATATTATTTGATTTATATTTGGGCTGTGTTCACTAATGGGAAGTGATACAATTGTGAATGCCTCCGTGTAGAAAAGCTGTTGATCTTGTCTGCTTGTCAGCTCTGTTTGTTTTTAATCTTGATTAATGGTCTCTACTGGCTGTTTTTACATATAATGTTAATGATTTGATTAAGCTCTACTTTTCTTTAGGTTATTCTTGTAACAACACAGTATCTGCCAGAAGTAAGCTGAAGAAGAGGAGGAGAAGGTAGCAGAAAGGAAGGAGAAGAAAAGCAGGAAACAGAAAAGGAAGAATGCTTGCTGGACAACAGGAAAAGTTCCACAGATCTGAAGACACCACAGATCTGGAGACAGGCAATTATAAGAAGTAAGAAAGAAAGGAGGAAATAAGGGAGAAGAATAGGGATGGTGAAGAAGAAGAGGAGGAGGATGTGACAAACAAGGAGGAGAGAAAACAGGAAAGGGAGAAGGAGAAAAAGGATATGAATTTACTGCCTCCACTATTATCTTTATATTTATCTTTGTTTTACTGCACATCTACTTCTAAAATGTAACAGTGTGTTGCGATCTCACTTAGTCTAACCTAATTAATTCTCATCACCTGTCAGCAATGACACGACAGCACTCGTGCTTCCAGAGACCCAGAAGAACCTTGACATTTGTGATGACTGAGCTGATTGTATTTAACATGCCTTGCCAGATGCGAGACAAATCTCTGAGGTTAAAGATGTAGTGGAATTTGGCTGGAGTTGGCAGCATTTTCACCTAGATGAAAGAAAGTGGTCAAAAAAACAATTAATTCAACAAAACCATAATATGCAACAATAACAGACATTGGCAACTTATTTAGAAGAAGTAACGCTTCAAAAGGCAGTGGTGTCGGTTCTCAATCAGCTTAACTCAAATTTACTAAACTCTACACTCAAGTACACTCAAGCAAGATTGAATCCTACCTTTGTCAGCTGCCACAGGCGGCGGGTGATGGGAACCAGATTCTTCACCATGGAGATGACTTCCTCTGAGAAACCCCTCTCCTTGCAGAAATGTCCGAGACCAATGACATTGAAGATCTTGTCAATGGAAGGATTTGATGGTAAGGTACAGTTGAAGATGGCAAACTGGCGCTTCAGACGCTGAGGAATGTCATTGCGTCCACCACCTGGCTGGATCATTGCAGCCAGGAACTGAAAATAAACAAGAAATGGTTGATAGCTAACTGTTAGATTCAGTTTCAACACATAACTTCCTAATTAATTTTGATCTTTTCAAACAAGAGATAGAAAGGAAGAGAGTTAATTCTTTCAGTTCCAAACAGTGCATAGTGTGTAATGGAATCCCGCTAGCGAGTCTCAGCCATAGAACAATGTGTTCTTTTACATTTTAATTGTGGTCAGAGAATATAAGGAAATCTGGCTACCTAAGTTGCCATGTGATCTATGTTCAGCCTTATGTTAACTTTCATTGTGTGTTGCCAAAGTAGGCATTGACTGCCAGATTTTCTGATACTGAAAGAGTTGAGCATCCACACAGCTCTGGGTTTCAATCAGCATCCACATATATGTGTTCACTCTTCAGATATAATAGCAGGTATCTGATTCATACATATCCCGCTGTGCCATTATGTGTTACACAGGGCTTGTCATCTATTCCTTCATTCCATTCTTTCCTGCACAATCCTTTCAATATCATCGATGTAATTCAGTCCAGCACCTTTGGCTTCTCTTATCAACTTTCATTTTCGGGTTTCTTTCAGGTGGCCTTGCTTGCTTAATCCTTTTTTTTCCCATTTTAGTGCCTGTTTGGTATCGTGTGTGTTTGTCTGAGTGTGTGCACATGTGTTAAGAGAGTGTTTTATGTCAGAAGTGATCAAATAACAATGATATCATAAGAAAACAAGCCTTGCTACTGTATTTTCAAGTGCATTAAAAACATAATAATTATGAGACATCACAACATCATTAAAATACTTAAAAAGTATACCACAAACTTCACTTAAACGTGTTAAAATATAACATAATAGAAACCATTAAAATTTTGTAAAATATAATAAACAGCATTACAAACATGTTAAAACAAAACACCTACCTGAACATCCACAATAGTGGTGAACTCGCCAGGTTTTTCCAGGCTGTAAAAGCCATGATTTTCCATCAGCTGACGCACAATCTCATTAGCGATTTGGTCACCCCACTCATTGATCTGTGGCATGTTGATGTCATCGATGAAGACAGTGGCCTTCTTCCCTGCAGGTGGCCCACATGTGGTTCCCACTCTTCTGTCCACGTAGCTTTCAATGGTTCTCTGGAATTAGAGCAGCAGACGTCAGCCAGGAAGGTACCTTACCATGTCTTGAGTGCATAATAATAGCTATTTGTGTTTACAAATTAATCAGCACTCATTCAAGTAACTAACGAACTGGTTATGTTTTTATGTTCAAATAAAATCCACAAATAAAGATTTTATAAAACACGTTTGAGTGTCATATTCTATCATCGCCAGGAAGATTAACCCAGGCAACAACTGCCTGAGGAAATCAGAGGTGTCGTCTAATAATCAAAGAAACAATATTCAGTTACTGCATCTTACTATTTCCATCCCTGTCATTTAGCTACATAAAATGTTCAGTCCAATGGAGCGTTGGCCCTCTAATAATTCTTGCTAACCCTTTAAAAATGTGTTCATGATTGCTTGAATTTTACAGGTATTTGTTGAGTTTTTTAGTAAGTAGCCAGTCTTATGTCAGCCCTTTTTAATTGCTTCTTTTGACATGCTTACATTGTTAGTATTGTTCGTTTTCTTCATAGGTCTTTGAAAATTTGTTACTGCTCCAATTAATTTTTTTTCTGAACCATGGGCTAAGTGACATGTGCAATTGTAATGAGGTGTATTCCATGATTCCAGAATGTTTACTTGCATTGTTTGTAAAACAAAGAAAACTAGCAAGCTACAAGGACCCTTTGAACATAAGGCCTGATTAGGTAACTGAGCACAGTTTCTTAAGTCTTTGTCTGAATCCACATAACACAAATAGGTAGACACCAGTGAAGCGAACATGACAGATCCCCTAGCTTGGGGTGTCAAATAATTATATAGAGGCCAGATCTTTAGGGGCAGGTAACTAGTGATAACAAGTAATTGTCTCCTCCTGAGATGACTCCACCTGAGTGTAAGTCAGAGGGCTAGTGTTGACACTTGTCTGATGGAGGTGTTAACAGACAGAACCTGGCAGACTGAAGGGGAAAGGAAGGTGAGACTCTGTGACCATGCAAAGCTAAGACCAGCTTGCTGGACCTGGGAATGTAACCCAGTGTGGCAAACAAATGTGTGAGCATTCCTCACTACTGACAGCTAATTAGAGAACTAATTACACCCAGTGGGTGGAGCTTTGATACCTCTTAGAATGAAAAGAGGAGGAGCTAAAGAAAGTGAATAAAATGAACACCCAGGCTGGGAAATGGAGACTTTGCTGCCATAACATGCCAAAAGGACATCATCGTGTTTGACTCTGTGCTTAATGACAAGTTTTTGGACAGACCTTTTGTCAAGTGTACTTGGCCACTTGCCAGGTAAGTGAGATTATTTTTAATCTTTTTTTTTTTGTTGCCTGATAGGAACATTAATTGTTCTTTTGCTTAGGTGTGCAATTACTTCTTTAGAGTACTTAGAGTAGACTGAATTAATTAACTATTTCAAGTTATTATAAAAATCTTGGTTGGGTAAATTGTGTACTTAAGTTCCAGTTTCTTTGAGCATACTAGTTTATCTCAACTCACTTATATGTAAATCGCTTGATGGGGGCATTCATGAAATATTAATACCAGGAGAGGAAAAAGTTGGTGGGGTTAACAAATCTTGATATCTAACTACCTTTTCCTACTCCTGTGGCTACAAGTACAGCTACTTTCGTTTTATTCTACAAGCCACTTTTGCTGCTTTCCTGGTTATCCAGGACTTTGCCTAGGATCAACACAGCTCAGATATCAGTCCGGTTTCTCACATGAGTGTGCAGAGTTGAGATTCAACCCACACACTGACTTCTCTATTGTACATCCACGTGGGGTCAGCAACAGCATTTCAGTTGAAAGAATTAATTTGTGTGTTTCAGTTTCATTAAATGTTGATGTACTTTCTGTAGCATGCATCTAACATGATGCAATGACATATGGCAAACAATTAGTTGTCCAGTATATTCTTGATGTCATTTTTTACGATGAGACAAGTGTAGTTTTCATCTTCTACTTCTGCTAACAAGCATTGTGGGAAGGAATAGTCAGCAGTCCACTAACCAATGGGTTGGACCAGCTATTGTCATTCTGTGTAATAAAAAATGTAAAAAACTGTGTGATGAGCACAATCTATAATAAGTTGATAAACACAAATTTATTTTGCTGCAAGTACTTACTGTCAGTGAAAGTTACAGACCACAATTTATAACAAGTTAACAAACACAACTTAATTTTGCTACAAATACTTTCTGGCAGTGAAAGTTTCAGAACTACAATCTTCAATAAGTTAACAAACACAACTTAATTTTGCTGCAAGTACTTTCTGGCAGTAAAGGTTGCAGAACTACAATCTACAATAAGTTAACAAACACAACTTAATTTTGCTGCAAGTACTTTCTGGCATACCTGAAACATGAATGGAGTTGTGGCTGATGAGAAGTTGACAACCTGTGCAACATGATATTCTGGGTTGTAGTGTCCCATGTAGTTGTTGATCATGACAGTCTTGGCTGTACCCTGTTCACCAATCAAAAGTACAGCTTTGCTCTGCTTGGCAATTGTGTTGATGAGAAACTCTGTGCGCACATTGTCCACGTTTGGCACAAGAATGCTGGTATACTCTGGCTCATGATCAGTTGGGTACACATAATCTGTGACTTTTTGACCCCAGTGAACCCACTTGCCTGAAAATTGAAGACAAAAATTTACATGTAGATTTTAAAAATTTACATAACCCCCAAAAATGTATATTTTGTTTTCCTTCAATCATGTTGTTGCATGTTCACCAAGGCTCTCATAACTATTATTTAAACTGTTGCTTCAGAGTTGCCTTCATTTGCTTAGACAGATTTTTAGTTAGTTGTGTATCCTTTACAGAATGTTGCAGAACCATATTTTGTGTGTGGGTGTGTGTGTGTGTGATATAACCAAGTAATTTCACATTTAGTAGTTTGCCATTGCTTTCTGAATGGTTGATGCTCAATCAATGCAAGGCAGTCTCCTGCCAAATTGCCAACAGCTTGAACTGAATCTGACACCACAGAATTACGAAGCATGTTCACAACATGTAAATCACAGGCGCAGACTCTACAGATTGTTACTTTAATAATTTATCCAAATGGGACATTAGGATAACACAATGCTCCCTTAACACAAACTGTCAGGTTTACTTGACTCTACATCTTCTGGTAGAGCAAAGGCAGCTAGTGTAATATAGATCATATTATCTATTGAGTTTCAGTCTGTCTATTACAAATAGAGGATTTTCATCATATATCCAGTTATTCTAGGTGTAGAAAAAAATATTAAAGCTAAGTGATTTTGTGTATTTGTGTGGTGTTTTATTTATGTATGTGCTGATGAAGGCTACATAGCCGCAACATTCAGTTTTGTTTGTGTTCGTTATATTGTGAAGCTTGCTGATATACTTTTCATTCGGTTTTATATCTTTTCTTGATATCTCCTCACAGTAAAATATAACACTATTGTTGTCTGAAAAAATGGAAAGGTGCCAACAATAAAAGACACATCACACACTCAACAATAGAGGATTATGTACCTAATATATGCAACATAATCCCAGCAATGAATTTAGCAATCCTAATCTTCAACTATTGATAACACGTATGTCGAGATATGTAATTAACAGCATTTACCATCAGTGTCGACCATGAAATCAAACATAGTGGCATCCAGACCATCAGGAATAACTGGCAAGTCAAGTTTGATGGAGTCATGTTTGCGCAGGAATTCTTCCATTCTGGCACGATCGTCCAGCTCCAAGAAAGCTCCTATGCTCCACATAAGTGTAAAGATATAGATACGCTCATACACTTCCTTCGGCAGAGCTGATCCTTCCTTCTCGTCCTTCAAGGGAATGAGGCCACTCATCAGTTTGCAGGCCTGAGGAGTTCAAACATGAATATTTGTCATCTAGTTCATACTTACTTTTTCTAGAAAAGCTAGATTTGCATGTTCAAACTTTTAGTCTATAAAAACAAAGCGTAATTTGTTTCTTGTATAATAGTTTTCATTCTCTATATAAACAACGAATACCTATGTGAATTAAGTAATGTATGGTATGTTATATTTATTACGTTTGGTCTGAACATTTAAAGAAATGTGGCTAGATATTTCAACATATAGTACAACATAAGTTGTCCCTGTAAAAGTAATACAAGTGTATAGTTTTCTTTGTAGTCATTTTCTCCCATTGACATCTGCTGCAAAATCATCTAGGACTAGACATAATCCATTACGGCTGCTTGCCAAAATGTGTTATGTGTTATGCATGCTTGTATGTGTGTGTGTAAGTGAGTGGGTATGTGTGTCGGTGTATGTATGTGGGTGTATGTATGTGGTTGTGTGTATACGTGGGTTTTTGCATGCACTTTAAAATTTATGCTTTTGTGTTCTTTTATAATATTCATAATATGCATATCATCATATGATCATAACATGCTTTATTAGTAAAATATAACTGTTGTGCTAAAGATCGTTGACTGGAAGGGCCGAATGTAAGAATGGGTGCCCAATTTGTGACCCTTTGAAAATAAAGTTTGTTCGTTCGCTCGTGTTATCTACATGTACATTGGGGGGGGGGGGGGGGGGGGGGGGAATTCTCTTGACAACTTACCTGAGCAATGACAAAAGCTTCCAAAATATCCATCTTGAGTTCCAAATTCTGTTGGACATAATTCCACAATTCAGTGAAGGAACTTGAAAAGAGAGGCATCAGAATCTCCCGCTCGTAGCCGGGTCGATGGTTCAGCCAGCCCTGTTGGAATAATTTCATGAAAGATTTATTCAGTAATTGCAACTAATAAATAGCACAACACTGTGAAGTGGATTAAAACAGTGTCACATTTCACTGCTGGATAAGTACTCAGCTTTTGTTTTTCTGTTCACAAGCTGATTTTTTAAGTTAAATATCAGGTCGTATTCTGTAACATAATTCTGAAACTCAATGCATCACATCAACCAATAACGGAAGTGTCCACAACATACAATAAATTGTAGTATATAAGATGTATATTTTACTTAATGTGCACTAATAGAATGAACCGCTAGAGCAAATGCTAGTTGATTCTAGTGCTTCAAGCAGCTTGTAGTATATAAGATGTATATTTTACTTAATGTGCACTAATAGAATGAACCGCTAGAGCAAATGTTAGTTGATTCTAGTGCTTCAAGCAGCTTGTAGTATATAAGATGTATATTTTACTTAATGTGCACTAATAGAATGAACCGCTAGAGCAAATGTAAGTTGATTCTAGTGCTTCAAGCAGCTTGTAGTATATAAGATGTATATTTTACTTAATGTGCACTAATAGAATGAACCGCTAGAGCAAATGTAAGTTGATTCTAGTGCTTCAAGTAGCTTGTGGTATATAAGATGTATATTTTACTTAATGTGCACTAATAGAATGAACCGCTAGAGCAAATGTTAGTAGATTCTAGTGCTTCAAGTAGCTTGTGGTATATAAGATGTATATTTTACTTAATGTGCACTAATAGAATGAACCGCTAGAGCAAATGTTAGTAGATTCTAGTGCTTCAAGCAGCTTGTAGTATATAAGATGTATATTTTACTTAATGTGCACCAATAGAATGAACCGCTAGAGCAAATGTTAGTTGATTCTAGTGCTTCAAGCAGCTTGTGGTACATTTAGAGTTGAATAAACTGAATGTTTAATGACAGTACAAAGTAGACGTAGTCACAGTTAATTATTACAAATACAAAAACAAGTGACATGAACATGTAGGCACACATGTGTATGGAGAAGACTTTTCTGAACAATTAAACATGAAAATAATTGGGGAAAGAAAATATAACAAGCTAGAGGTTAGATTTTTACAAATATAGTACCGTATATTTTGACACTATTAAGATTATTTACAAATGCATCATTTTCCTCTGACATTTGACACCTATTGAACTTTAACATAAGTAAACACACAGATTTGTACAATTAGTGTATTTTCTTTATTTAAATCCTATTTTTGATAAGACTGTGTTCAATCTATACACAGATGCCATTTTTTTTAAATTGAATTATTTTTTTGAAATCAATTATAGCCCACCAAATGTTAACAGTCATCATCATCATCATCATCATCATCATCATTATCATCATCATCCGCATCATCATCATCATCATCATCATCAGTTAACAGTATAACAAACTATTATGCCAAACAATGACAGAAAAACCAAAACATTATTACCTGCAGAATGGGGCTCCAGTCTAAGCCAGAACTGCTCATGTACACCATGCCATTACGAGAAACAGTAGCCGGCGATGCATTGTCAATGTTGTGTGGTTCGAAGATAATCTTGCAGTTCTGAGCCATGGGGATACGATCACCATTGGCCAAGGTCAGTGTCTTGTTGTCGTCAAGGACAGAGTTGAGATTTTCAATCCAAATAGCATCCACGGGTCCATCCAGAACAAGCCAGATATGTTCTCCTTGGGAACAAAACACACACAGTTAGATACAGCAGCAGCAGGAAAACAAATGTTTATGTTCACCAATAAACAAAACAAAACTACAAGAGTTTGTTCCACAAATGAGGCAATTTAAAACTGTAAGCTTAACCCTCTGTTCTACCAGAGTATCCAAAGCTTAACCAGCTCTTACCAGGGTATTTAAAGCATAACCAGCTGTCTTATCAGCATATCCAAAACTTTACCAGCTGTCTTACCAGAGTATCCAAAACTTCACCAGCTGTCTTATCAGAGTATCCAAAGCTTAACCAACTGTCTTACCAGGGTAATCAAAGCTTAACCCACTGTCTTACCAGGGTAATCAAAGCTCAACCAGCTGTGTTACCAGGGTATTCACAAAATAACCAGCATGTCTTCAGCTGACAATTTTGGCAGAGTTAGTCAAAGCTGCAGCTGTCTGCCATCAGTGTCCAACATCTCTGCCGCTAATGTTTGGTTTTGTGGTGCTACGTATAACAATAAATGAATAATATCAAACACAACCATGAATATTGTCAGATCTATGGCACCAAGTGTAATAAAATATTTGTTTTAAAAATGGGCTCAAAACAAAACAAAAAACAGAAAAAAAACTGTTGACTTCTCCAGAATGGAGGTTGGACGCAATGTATCCATGGAAAACTGTGGGAATATTACAGAAATGAGGCCCCAGTCTCTTCCATGGTAGGACTCTCGTACCACTGTCTGAAATCAATGAAACAGCCTTTTTTTTTACACCACCCACTACAGGAGCTTAACCCTGAAACAGATTGCATTGTGAACACACTTCACTAACCTTTAAGGTATAAAACCATAATAAGTAATATATGCTCAAAAAGAACACAATGCATATTTTTGTTTCTAAGCTTTACTTGCATGAAAGTGAAATTTATTAAAAGAGAAACTCAGAATGTGATGAAAAAGTAGCCTTGCCTTTCTTCACACGAGTGGTTCTCCGCCAGAGTGTGGAAAAGATACCATCAGTCCAGTCATTTGTGGCCACATCCAGACGGCCAAACATCTGAGGAGCAGTGATAGCTTTTGGATTCATTCTCCACTCTTTGTGTGGCTCCCCACAATCAGTCATAGCTTTCATCAGCATGTGGATGCAGCAAGTCTTACCTGCTCCACTGGGGCCCAGGGTCATCATACCATGCCGGACCCTCTGTGTTTCAAACAGCTGCAATAGAAGAGGAATGTTCATGTACAACCTGAGGTATAGCTTCGTCTGAATTGTACATCAAACTAAGTACTCTCCCTCTGTCACAGCCCACTTTCCCATATTTCTTTTAACTACTGTTTCTCCATTTACCTATTGTCTGTCACTGCCTCGATTTTCTGTTCCTTTATTTAATGCTCTATGGTGTCCTTCCATCTACAAGATGACCGCTTGTCAATGTTTACTTCCACTATTTCCTGCTTTCTACTTTTCTCCCTTCTATGAACATGCTGAGATTTATGTTGTGAGTTTTGTTGTGTAACACTCAACGGTCTCAACTGTGATGGAAATTAAAAACTAGAAAACTTCTGCTCTGGAGAGAGATAAAAATACTTAACCGGGCATTTCCAGTTTTGAAAGTAACACATAATACACAATTTTAAAAAAATGTTCTTTGCTGGATGCCTTTGGGAGCTTTCATTTCTTCGGAGGTGTTTCCTAAATATAACTGACTAAACACAGCTGAAACAATTATGACCTCACGATGAACCAGAATGAACTTTTCTGAAATGATAAACAACTTTCATGAGCAACAATAAAGCAGCAGACTTGTGCTGCCAGGTTGACCGCACACACACAACATTTGAAAACACTCTAAAGTGATACCTCAGAATTGAAACATAATCCATTCCGAGACGGCATTCAAATTCCAAGTTGTTTGAGTTTTGAGGCATTTGAATTCCGAGCTACCACTATATCTCAAAGGTCATTAACAGCTCATCCTTCTGACTCACCTGTACCAACTTGATAGTCCACTCTGGGTGATTGACCAGTTTGGCTTCTTGAACATTTCTGGCAATGGCTGCCTCCAGATCTGGATATCCTGCTTTATCCAGGGTGATGCCTGCAACAAAGTGGGTCAAACAAATAGGTCGACAAATAAACATATTTTAGATACAATAGAAATGAGTACTGATATCTGATACTATAAACTGAAACAGAAAATGTAGTTTCTGCCGTCCTTCAAGAATAATGATTGATTTTCACATTTGAGTCAAGAATCACTTTCACTAAACATGGATTTTGAAGTGATTTTTCACTTGCACACACAGCACAGAAAATGACACAATCAAAAGAAGTAACATAAAAGAAAACAAGACTACATAATCACATTTTAAAAGTACTCCCCTAACCTGGAAATAGATCTCCTATGAGGGAGACAAAAAGTGGTTCGTCTTGATCCACCAGTTTACTGAGGTTCATGTCACGGAGGACTCTCATCACAACAGTCTGCTCCGTTTCCGTTGGGTTCAGACGTTTCACAGCTCCCAGAGTTCTCAGCACAGACAGGATGTTGCGCAAACCAAAATCATAGTGAACCTAAACAATATTCAAGAAATGTGTTCAAACATGATAATTTCCATGCTGAAATGTATCATTCACAATAACATGTAACTCAGAAATCTGTAAATAAATTTTGAATGAAAATACACGTTTAAAAATTATTTATCATTTTGCTAGGAATAGGGATAACCATTTTTAGTCTGGCACAAATATGTGCCAACTGTATGCAATTATATGAAATCATCTTCCCATGTCACCCATACCACACACACAAAATAGAAGTCTGGAAATTGCTTTATTTTTTCAATCATATTTTTAAAAGTCTGTCCCAAACAACATACAGTGTGTGACTGTTTACCTTTCATGTGCACCAGTCAATGTAACTGTTTACCTTTCATGTGCACCAGTTAATGTGACTGACTACCTTTCATGTGCACCAGTTAATGTAACTGACTACCTTTCATGTGCACCAGTTAATGTGATTGATCACCTTTTATGTGCACCAGTCAATGTGACTGACTACCTTTTATGTTCACCAGTCAATGTGACTGACTACTATTCATGTGCACCAGTCAATGTGATTGACCACCTTTCATGTGAACCAGTCAATGTGACTTATCACATTTCAAAGGTGACATGTTTGACTGATTACATTTCATATGCACCATTCAATGGATCATACGTGACTGTGCTTCTAACATTTTGCCAGAGTAGGGTCAAAAGTCTTAAGATTGTTTTTTTTTTACATTTTTTTTAAACAAGCTGTGTGTTTTTGACTCTTATGAAATTGATGCACTTGTAAATGTGTTACTCTCATTAATTCTCCCATCTACAGCAGCTGTGACTTTCTTCGACCGCAAGAATAAACAAGACACACACACATGGAATTCAGTATGTGTCTATATCATATCCAACTACTTGGCCTTCTGCAAACAAAATACATGCAATAAGCAATCTTGCTGCTTCTAGTATCATACCAGCTTGTCTTCTCCTTACCTGTTTTGTTAGCTGCTCCTCACAAAGTTTGTACAAGGTGAAAAACTTCCTGGCCAGAATGATATTGTCAATGAAGCCAACGGCAGCCAGTTTAACACGTATGATGATCTGGCGATCGGGAACCATCATGGCCACAGTTCGGAAATTAATCTTCAGGTTTTCTGGCAACTCTTGTCGACCCGCATAGCCAGGGTTCTGATTTAATGTGACAGTCAAAAAAGTTCAAGATTCATCGTGTCGATGTAAAGAGTAAACAATAAAAATATTATCCATAAAAATATTTCGATCGTTTCACTTAGTGCTATGTAAAAAGGTAGAGAACAAATGAATGAACAAGGAAACAAACTTCATTTTCAAAGGTTCACAAACTGAGCGTGCGGGCCCGTCTTACATTCCACCCTTCTAAAAACACTTCTATCACACCGCAATTGTATTTTATCAATACAGTTATTTTTAACTCTTTCACCTCAAGAAGCCACAAAACCAAAAGTTCCGGTTGGTACCATTTCCCTGTAAGAATTGCTTTCCCAGCTCGCTAAAGATACATTTTTATGAGATGTCTAGCTAACAGAATTAATTGCATCTGAATCTAACACAAACTTTGATGGTGACAAGGGATGACTAAATTTACCCCCCAAAAAAGGCATTTAGTGGTGTTTACTTTAGACAAAAAAAGGCATTTAGTGGTGTTTACTTTAGACAAAAAAAGGCATTTAGTGGTGTTTACTTTAGACAAAAAAAGGCATTTAGTGGTGTTTACTTTAGACCCAAAAAAAGGCATTTAGTGGTGTTTACTTTAGACCGAAAAAAAAAAGCTTTCTTTTTCAAAATTTTCAAGTCCTTTTTTTCCATTGGCTAAAGTGGTTACCTGGTGACCGGGTAGCAAGGTCAAGCATCTGTCACATTATAATTAGTCTACAATTCCAAAGATATGTCAAATAGTTGATTCTACATTGATTTCATTTTTATGAATACTCGCCTGACTCTGTACAGTATTTCTTCCTGTTTTGGATGATAGATTGATGTTCTGCATGAATAATATAAAAATTGAAATGATGGATGCTTTGCTTTGTTTTCTAGGTCACCAGGGTGTTAATCTTCTCCCATGGGTGGCAATCAATAACAATGACTATATATTCTAAATGAATTAGATTTTTCAAAATTGATCTTTGCTCCCAAGTGGACTATAATGTGTGCCAGGTAAAGTTTGGGAAGTAAAGACATCTGTCATGATTGTGACCATACTAACCATCCAGTGCCAGTTAGTTTATAAATTTATAGGTCTTGCACTTTAGCCTAGCCCCCCCCCCCCCCCCACCCCCCCAGTACGTCGGAGGCATTTCAAGAGTGCCATGATGATATTTTCCAGTGTATTTTACATCTACACTCAATCTAATTCATAAACAAGTATTTTTCTTTAATGTGTTGTCTTCATCTGAATAAAACGTTTACAGCAAAGCAAAAACAAAATCCAAAACCACCCTATTTGTTTGACTCACCATGGTCAAGAAAATCCCAAACTCTGTGTTCATCTCAACTGTGTCCCCGTCTGTGAAAATAAACTGCTTCTTTCTGTCCTTTTTGCAGGCCAGAACAATGGCTATTTGCTGGGCAGCCACGGACAGGACGGGCAGATCAATCCGGTTAAATTCATCAAAGCACCCCCAGGAACCAGACTGAGCCAGACCTGATGAAGAAGCATCAGAAAGTGGATCAGTTGTTAGCCAGTCTCGGCTGGGAGATTATGTCCTTTAATTAAGAGAATCAAATACATTCTAAACATGACTCGCTCGAGACAAGAACTTTTCAAGTATCTTGCCTGAGAGATAAAGAACACACAGTCTGCACACAAATAAGCCAGATATGTAAAACAACGTTCTGGAAAAAGACTAATGTCAGAGTTTACAGTCGATGAACGTGAATAAGAAGAAGAAGAAGAGTGTTTATGAAGTGTTAAAGTGTACACTGCCTTATAGTTTGAGTTTTCATAAAGTGTTAATACTCTTCAAAAAGTATTATGGTTTGAATTTTCATAAGTGTTAAAATTAAATAAAAATTATAGCTTGTGCAAACCCTAAAGAGATAGTGAAGGTTGCAATACTGGGGACAAGACGAGGCATAGACCAACATTTATAAACTAAATAGGAAACAGTTTCTCCATGCCAGCATTCAGATAAAATAAATTTACCTTTGAAAATTCTGCCAAGCCCCCTGAAGTCCATCTGATCGGAACAGTTGAAGACCACCACATACTTGCCCAGACATCTGCCCATGTCTTTGGTTGTCTCTGTCTTGCCTGTACCTGCCGGGCCGGCAGGTGCTCCACCCATAGACATGCCTAGTGCTTGGGCTAGGGTGATGTAACATCTGAAACATGACAAATATATCTCATACATATAATTCAGTGTGATGTAACATCTGAAACATGACAAATATATCTCATAATTATAATTTAGTATCATCTAACATTTGAAACATGACAAATATATCACACAGATCTAATTTAGGGTGATGTAACATCTTAAACATGACAAATATATCATGACAAATATCACATAGATCTATTTTAGGGTCATCTAACATCTGAAACATGACAGTTATTTTACATAGATCTAATTTAGAGTGATGTAACATCTTAAACATGATAAATATATCACACAGATCTAATTTAGGGTGAATAATGTCTACATCATGACTTATATGTAACCATTGACGGAATATGATCCAGAAGTAGGGCACCTGTTTTAAGATTCAGTTGACCTTACACAAATGGATATAAAAGGAGAATATTACAAACATTTTGAAATGTATATGAATAAAAAGAATTATGAGGAAATTGCAGTGAAGGAATTTATAAAAAATGTTTATAAAGAATGATTTCCTGTTATGATATGACATAAATGGAACTAATGGAATGGCTTGTCAAGTTTGAAAAAAGAAAATAAAAAATTGTGAAGATGAATGTAAAAAATGTTTCGTGTTGACTTGCCTGTCTGTTAGCGGGGTTATCACAAGTCTCTCGGTGCAACCCAAAAATTCGTTTTGATAGATGAAGTCCACATCAGTGATTGAGATGATACACTTGTCCTGGTCTTCGATGAAGTAAAACCGTGACTGCTTCTGCCATTCAAAATCTGTCGGAGACTTGATATGCAAACGGCACTACAGACATAAATCAAATTCATTCATTAACTGAAACAAACTGAGACAACCTGAGAATAATATAACTAGAAAAGCTTTAAACTAGAACCCACAGGGGCATAGAAATAAAGGTAGACTCCAGAAAGAAAAAAAAAACACAGAGAAGGGAACTAGGAAGTGAAGTTAAAAAGATGGAGAAGATGTGAGGTGAGCTGCATACAACAAACAAAGGATAAGATGACTCAGCCTGAGTGGGTTGAGGGCCTATGCTCCACTGGGGAATATAAGTCAGAAAAAGGAGAAAATTCATTAAACATCAGAATCACAGATAAATATTCTGAAACTGAAATCTCCAGGTTGCCGCAACATGAGGGAACTGTAGTAAAGTGTCGCAACAACATGAGGGAACTGTAGTAAAGTGTCGCAACAACATGAGGGAACTGTAGTAAAGTGTCGCAACAACATGAGGGAACTGTAGTAAAGTGTCGCAACAACATGAGGGAACTGTAGTAAAGTGTCACAACAACATGAGGGAACTGTAGTAAAGTGTCGCAACAACATGAGGGAACTGTAGTAAAGTGTCGCAACAACATGAGGGAACTGTAGTAAAGTGTCGCAACAACATGAGGGAACTGTAGTAAAGTGTCGCAACAACATGAGGCAACTGTAGTAAAGTGTCGCAACAACATGAGGGAACTGTAGTAAAGTGTCGCGGCATTAGGAAGGTTGAGAGCCACTGCTGGAGACTAAGGCATCCATCCATCCATCCATCCATCCATCCATCCATTAATTCATCTATCCATCCATCCATCCATCCATCCATCCATTCATTCATTCATTCATTCATTCATTCATCTATCCATTCATTCATTTATCCATCCATCCATTCATTCATTCATCCATTCATTCATTCATCCATCCATTCATCCATCCATTCATTCATTCATTCATCCATCCATCCATCCATCCATCCATCCATCCATCCATCCATCCATCCATCCATCCATCCATCCATCCATCCATCCATCCATCCATCCATTTATCCATCCATCCATCTATTCATTCATCCATCCATCCATTCATTCATTCGTTTATCCATCCATCTATTCATATATCTATCTATTCATCCATCCATCCATCCATCCATCCATCCATCCATCCATCCATCCATCCATCCATCCATCCATCCATCCATCCATCCATCCATCCATCCATCCATCCATCCATCCATCCATCCATCCATCCATCTATCCATCCATCCATCCATCCATCAATCCATCCATCCATTCATGCATCGATCCATTCATTCATTCATTCATCCATCCATTCATATATCTTTCTATTCATTCATCCATCCATTCATTCATCCATCCATACATTCATCCATCCATCCATCCATCCATCCATTCATGCATCTATCCATTCATTCGTTCATTCATTCATTGTCCTGTTTTGCCACTATATGTCATTAGGACTCACAGTTTATTCCTCAGTTTTCTTCTACCCTGTGCACTCACTTCAATATCATGGATGGAATCCAGTTGGGCAGCTTTGTCTTCTCTCATCAACATTCACTTTACGGTTTCTCTTGGAACTCCTCGCTGCCTAAATCCCTTTATTTCCCAGCTAAGTGCCTGTCTGCTGATTCTCTACTTGTTTCTTCTCAGAATGAGTCCATTATGTAGCCATTTCTCTCCAAACATCTTATTTCTTCACTTCTTTTGGGAGCCGTCATGGAGTAGTGGCTGTACACTCGCCTGCAGATCGGATGGTCCTGTGTTCGGGTTCTGATGGAGCCAGACTTTCACAAATGGCCTTGGCCCCAAGGTTGACCCAGCCCTGAGTGGGTACCAAGCACACGTCCTAGGAAGTAAAGGTGGCTGGCTTGTTGCTGACCACATCACCCACCAAGTGCCAATTGGTCTAGCCCTCTATGCCTAAAATGCTTAAAGGCATGGAAAAAGGTCCTTTACTTTACATACTTTTACTTCACTCCTCATGAATTCATGCCCTTGTATGTTCATAATTTTCCTCAGGCATTTGTTTTCATATGCAGTTAACTTTTATTCCATGTCTTCTGTGAGTTTCCAACTTTTACTGGTATATGTTAAAAAGTAAAGGACTCTTTTCCACGCCTATAGGGGTATAGGGCATATAGGGCTAGACCTAAATTTTTATAGACCAATCTGCACAAGATGGCTGATGTAGTCAGCATCACACCGGCCGCCTTTACTTCCCAGGACTGCACTCGGTACCCACTCAAGGCTGGGTCGAACTGAGAGCCAAGGTCATTTTTGAAAAAGTCCGGCTCCCCCAGGGAGCGAACCTATGACCTTCCGATCGGCGGCTTTGCCACAGCGACTCCCAACTGGTATATGTTAAACCTTAAAAAACATAAAAATTGAAAATTCTTATAGAAAGGAGGATTCTATACTGCCAGAAACTGGAGCTTACCAAATCATCAAAGATATCACGCTGATGGACATGAATGGTGATGAGGGTTTCGTACTTTGTTCTTTCAACTTTGGTCAGATCTTTTGTTGTCTGTTCAATGAGAAGGTTCAAAAGCTCCAGGAATGCTTGGTTGGTCTGACCCATGATCTTGCGGTCATACTTGGCGCTGTTCAGTGCTTCTGTGGCATCCCGAGTCCAAATCATTTGAATTCCAAGCAATCCAACCTGGCAAAATATGCATATGCAATACCATTTATGTGTTTTTCTAAAACAGTTTAATGTAAATATGGCATATTGTGCTCCATAAATACATGTTTACTCGCACAAGAAAGGTGAGACAAAAAAGACCTTTGAAAATCTTGCAGAGAAACAAAACATGCACGAACGAACAAATGAAGGTCACAAACTGGGCACACAGACCAGTCTCACATTCAGCCCTTCCAGAGATTCATCTTTCACATACCAACTGTGATTTTATCTTGTTATGCTCATGTAACAAAATACAAAATATTAGTGTAGGGTAAAAAACACAAAGCATGGAAGGCAAATGCACACATTTCAATATACAAGCATGCATGCGCGTGTGCACACATGCACACACACACACATTTACACTCTAAATACATGTACAAACCCATACATCTACATGCATACACACACACTTGTAAATCCATGTACATGCACACACACACACACACACACACACACACACACACACATTTGTACATCCATGTACATGCACAATTTGGAGTTAAAAATCTACCCAAAATTATTTTAGGATCCTCGACAGAGTTCATGCACTGAGCTGAGATTCTTCAGACTCAGGTTTGAGTTAGAAATAGAACTCAGCACTTATGAGCTACATCCGTGTGCCATGATGTTGATCCATGGACTAAACTTCACTAAACTAAACATACATACATATATACACACTTACACTTCATATCCACTCATGCATACAATCAATATCACTTGAACCCACATATAAGCACACATATACTAGGTGACTATAAGTTAGGAAATGCTGAGGCATGTGTTTAAACATTACAGTAACATAGAAAATCAGTTAGCCAGTGAATAAAAACTGTGCACAGGGATACAAATATATAAATGACTCCTAACATTGACATGTGGCGATGACATCTGAAAGTGAGAGGGACAATTTACAATTAAATTTGACAGTGACATGTGAGAGTGACATCTAGCTCATGGCAGTGACATGTGAAGTGACATCTAGCTCATAACAGTGACATGTGAAGTGGCATCTCATTCATGAAAGTGACATCTCATTCATGACTGATATGAGAGAGACATCTAAATGTGGCATCTGAGTGTGACATCTGAGTGTGACATCTTACAATCCCATCAACTGTTACATGGAAAGGGAAATAACTGTGACAACACAAATGACATCTGACAATGACACCTAGCAGTCATATTTGTCATTGCACAATGACAATTAACATTGACCTTTCACAGTAACATCAACAAATGAAATATGATAGAGGTGTCTAGTACTTATGGTGACATCTGACACTGATCTCTAACACTATGACACTGACATCTGACACTGATCTCTAACACTACAATGACACTGACATCTGACACCGATCTCTAACACTACAATGACACTGACATCTGACACTGACATCTGACACTAATCTCTAACACTACAATGACACTGACAACTGACACTGACATCTGACACCGATCTCTAACACTACAATGACACTGACAACTGATACTGACATCTGACACTGATCTCTAACACTACAATGACACTGACATCTGACACTGATCTCTAACACTACAATGACACTGACATCTGACACCGATCTCTAACACTACAATGACACTGACATCTGACACTGATCTCTAACACTACAATGACACTGACATCTGACACTGATCTCTAACACTACAATGACACTGACATCTGACACTGATCTCTAACACTACAATGACACTGACATCTGACACTGATCTCTAACACTACAATGACACTGACATCTGACACTGATCTCTAACACTACAATGACACTGACATCTGACACCGATCTCTAACACTACAATGACACTGACATCTGACACTGATCTCTAACACTACAATGACACTGACATCTGACACTGATCTCTAACACTACAATGACACTGACATCTGACACTGATCTCTAACACTACAATGACACTGACATCTGACACTGATCTCTAACACTACAATGACACTGACATCTGACACCGATCTCTAACACTACAATGACACTGACATCTGACACTGATCTCTAACACTACAATGACACTGACATCTGACACTGATCTCTAACACTACAATGACACTGACATCTGACACTGATCTCTAACACTACAATGACACTGACATCTGACACCGATCTCTAACACTACAATGACACTGACATCTGACACTGATCTCTAACACTACAATGACACTGACATCTGACACTGATCTCTAACACTACAATGACACTGACAACTGATACTGACATCTGACACTGATCTCTAACACTACAATGACACTGACATCTGACACCGATCTCTAACACTACAATGACACTGACATCTGACACCGATCTCTAACACTACAATGACACTGACAACTGATACTGACATCTGACACCGATCTCTAACACTACAATGACACTGACATCTGACACCGATCTCTAACACTACAATGACACTGACAACTGATACTGACAACTGATACTGATCTCTAACACTACAATGACACTGACATCTGACACCGATCTCTAACACTACAATGACACTGACAACTGATACTGACATCTGACACCGATCTCTAACACTACAATGACACTGACAACTGATACTAACATCTGACACTGATCTCTAACACTACAATGACACTGACATCTGACACTGATCTCTAACACTACAATGACACTGACAACTGACACTGATCTCTAACACTACAATGACACTGACATCTGACACCGATCTCTAACACTACAATGACACTGACATCTGACACCGATCTCTAACACTACAATGACACTGACATCTGACACTGATCTCTAACACTACAATGACACTGACAACTGATACTGACATCTGACACTGATCTCTAACACTACAATGACACTGACATCTGACACTGATCTCTAACACTACAATGACACTGACAACTGATACTGACATCTGACACTGATCTCTAACACTACAATGACACTGACATCTGACACTGATCTCTAACACTACAATGACACTGACAACTGACACTGATCTCTAACACTACAATGACACTGACATCTGACACCGATCTCTAACACTACAATGACACTGACATCTGACACTGATCTCTAACACTACAATGACACTGTCAACTGACACTGATCTCTAACACTACAATGACACTGACATCTGATACTGACATCTGACACTGATCTCTAACACTACAATGACACTGACATCTGACACTGATCTCTAACACTACAATGACACTGACATCTGACACTGATCTCTAACACTACAATGACACTGACATCTGACACTGATCTCTAACACTACAATGACACTGACAACTGATACTGACATCTGACACTGATCTCTAACACTACAATGACACTGACATCTGACACTGATCTCTAACACTACAATGACACTGACATCTGACACTAATCTCTAACACTACAATGCCACTGACATCTGACACTGATCTCTAACACTACAATGACACTGACATCTGACACTGATCTCTATCACTACAATGCCACTGACATCTGACACTGATCTCTAACACTACAATGACACTGACATCTGATACTAATCTCTAACACTACAATGCCACTGACATCTGACACTGATCTCTAACACTACAATGACACTGACATCTGACACTGATCTCTAACACTACAATGACACTGACATCTGACACTAATCTCTAACACTACAATGCCACTGACATCTGATACTAATCTCTAACACTACAATGCCACTGACATCTGATACTAATCTCTAACACTACAATGCCACTGACATCTGATACTAATCTCTAACACTACAATGCCACTGACATCTGATACTAATCTCTAACACTACAATGCCACTGACATCTGACACTGATCTCTAACACTACAATGACACTGACATCTGACACTGATCTCTAACACTACAATGACACTGACATCTGACACTAATCTCTAACACTACAATGCCACTGACATCTGACACTGATCTCTAACACTACAATGACACTGACATCTGACACTGATCTCTAACACTACAATGACACTGACATCTGACACTGATCTCTAACACTACAATGCCACTGACATCTGACACTGATCTCTAACACTACAATGACACTGACAACTGATACTGACATCTGACACTGATCTCTAACACTACAATGACACTGACAACTGATACTGACATCTGACACTGATCTCTAACACTACAATGACACTGACATCTGACACTGATCTCTAACACTACAATGACACTGACATCTGACACTGATCTCTAACACTACAATGACACTGACATCTGACACTGATCTCTAACACTACAATGACACTGACAACTGACACTGATCTCTAACACTACAATGACACTGACATCTGACACTGATCTCTAACACTACAATGACACTGACATCTGACACTAATCTCTAACACTACAATGACACTGACACCTGACACTGATCTCTAACACTACAATGACACTGACATCTGACACTAATCTCTAACACTACAATGCCACTGACATCTGACACTAATCTCTAACACTACAATGACACTGACATCTGACACTGATCTCTAACACTACAATGACACTGACATCTGACACTAATCTCTAACACTACAATGCCACTGACATCTGACACTGATCTCTAACACTACAATGACACTGACATCTGACACTGATCTCTAACACTACAATGACACTGACAACTGATACTGACATCTGACACTGATCTCTAACACTACAATGACACTGAAACTGATACTGACATCTGGCACTGATCTCTAACACTACAATGACACTGACATCTGACAGTGACATCTGTACCTGAGCTGGGAAAGTGTTGAGGAACTCCAACAGGTTGAAGTTCTGATCCTGTATTGTCATAGCAGCCATTCTGATGACCCCATGAACTGACCTCTGAGACATGGTCAGTAAACTCATCAACCACACTTCCACGTTGCCCTCAGCCTTGACCGGCTTCTCCAGCTGCAATCAAATAACCACAAACTGACCAGTGCATCCTGGATAAATAATTGCTTTACATTATCATTCAGTGTAAGCTCATAGGAATGTCAGCTTTTAGGTTCATTACCCCTTCCACCACTCTCCTCCACACATACACACACCACAAACACCCTCACACCCCCACCCTCACACCCCCACCCTCACACCCCCACCCTCACACCCCCACCCTCACACCCCCACCCTCACACCCCCAACCACATTCACATGCATTTGCACGCCCACACACTCACACATCTGCACACAAATAATTAACTCAGTCTTTTTTTTTTATGTTGCCAGTGTGGGTTCCAGGGCCTTATTTTTTTTGGAAATGATTGTAAGGTCTTAACTACATATCTCCTGAACCACTTCTAGATTGTAAAGATATCTTCCTACGCAGCTCTCTGTGAGGTGTTGGAAATATTTCTCTCTCAAACCCCTGACTGGACTGTAAAGATATCTTCATACGCAGCTCTTTGTGAGATGGACATATTTTTCTCTCAAACAACTAACTGGATTGTAAAGATATCTTCATACACAGCTCTCTGTGAGATGTTGAACATAATTCTCTCTCAAACAACTAACTGGATTGTAAAGATATCTTCATACACAGCTCTCTGTGAGATGTTGAACATATTTCTCTCTCAAACAACTAACTGGATTGTAAAGATATCTTCATACACAGCTCTCTGTGAGATGTTGAACATATTTCTCTCTCAAACAACTAACTGGATTGTAAAGATATCTTCATACACAGCTCTCTGTGAGATGTTGAACATATTTCTCTCTCAAACAACTAACTGGATTGTAAAGATATCTTCATACACATCTCTCTGTGAGATGTTGAACATATTTCTCTCTCAAACAACTAACTGGATTGTAAAGATATCTTCATACACAGCTCTCTGTGAGATGTTGAACATATTTCTCTCTCAAACAACTAACTGGATTGTAAAGATATCTTCATACACAGCTCTCTGTGAGATGTTGAACATATTTCTCTCTCAAACAACTAACTGGATTGTAAAGATTGCGGCTCTGTTGCCAAGAGGGTGGTTAAAGATGATTTCAAGATCCTAAAGTGACAGGCTTCAATTCTGCAACAGATGGTTTATGTTTGTAATAAAAGAAATTCTCATGGTTTTTGGACTCTGGGATGAGAATCACACCAAGGAAGAGACTGCGACCTCACCACATAAAATTCTCAAAGACAACAGCGAGTGGGTTGTAGCCAGTCTTCACTGTAAAAATAGCACATGATGTTGTTTAGTTGTCAATAGAACACACTGTGTAAGACAGTTGAGGACTGTCATGTAACAATACTGGACTTTACCTCAATGACTTCATCCTCCGAGGAAATCACAGCCAGGATCTGGTCATAGATCTTCTCATGGAAGCGGACTTGCTTGGTGTTGTCAAACACAGACAGAAGATGGGCTTGGATGGTATGAGGGTCGCTGGCTTGACCCAGGATCTCCAGCAGAGCAGGGTCGGACACGAAGAAGAAGCGAGGGAAGCTGAGCCGCTTCTTCTCCAGATAGCTGAGATCAATACACAACCAATCAGAATGTGACTGCAGTCAAATCATCTCTCTTACACTGAAACCACTAGAGTCAGACATATCTTACAGTTTAACATTTATTCTACCTCTCAGTCAAACAACTAACTGCAGCCAAACGATATCTCTCCCATTTAAACCACTAGATATATCTTCTATTAACCATCTGTTTTAACTCACAATCAAACAATGAAACATATCTCATAATTAACCATTTATTCTACCTTACAGTAAAAAAAATTAACTGCAGCCAAACTATATCTCTCCCATTTAAGCATCTAGACCTCTCTCATAGTTAATCATTTGTTCTACCTTATATGCAAACCACCAGATGTATCTCAAAGTGAAACATTTGTTCTACCACACAGTCAAACCATTAGACATATCTCAATGAACAAATTCTACACAATGCAAGAACTCCGTAGCTTCAACAATGATCTTCAGGGATCTTACAGACAACTGCACACAAACACATAACAAACAAAATATGAGGCAGATGGCCTGACCACTTCCTCATGGAATTTTGCCAACAAAGATACACATATTACATTCAAGCCACAGATAAAAATCTATCCATATCTCCGACCTCAAAAATGTTTACATCTACACAAACTTCAGACCACTGTACTTCCATCAATCTAACCTTTCAATTTTTGTTTAAGTCAAATTCTGTTAAACCACTGAAAATACCTCAAACTAAAAGTCAAATTACTGAGCCTATCCTACACTTGACTGTCAAACCACTTCACAAATAAGACACCTGATGTCAAACCACAATGCAAAACCAAACATATGAATGTCAAACCACTGAACAAACTAGATACCTGTTAAATCACTGAACAAACCAGACACATGACTGTTAAATCACTGAACAAACCCGACACCTGACTGTTAAGCCACTGAACAAACCAGACACCTGACTGTCAAATCACTGAACAAACCAGACACCTGACTGTCAAATCACTGAACAAACCAGACACCTGACTGTCAAATCACTGAACAAACCAGACACATGACTGTTTTAAGCCACTGAACAAACCACCTCTGCTGCAAACTGCCAACTGTTTTCTGTAACTACATTAAATGTGTGTGTTCTGACGGTGTTGAGTTGGTTTGTGTTTAGGATAGATACCACTGTCACACAGCTGCCAATGAGTGGCTGCTATTGACATGCTAAGTACCATTTTGGCATTTACTGATAACTTCCTAGTACCTATTTTAAGTTTGTTGATGTTGTTGTTGTTGTTCTTCTTCTTATTGTTTACCAGCTGTAAACCCTGATGGAAAGTTCTGGTTGTTCATCCACATCTAGATTTTGGTCCTGTTTCAGAACTTCAGTTTTGTGTGCACATCTGTTTCACAGATCTGGCTTACTGGTTTGCAGACTTTTGGTTCCTTGTCTGATAGGTAGATACACTTTTACTTTAAAAGAAACATTTTCAAATAATAGGGGGGGGGGGGGGTCTTTTATTTTCCCTAAAAATGGGGCCAAAGAAGCCACATAGGGAGGGCATGTTCAACTTCAAAGCCAAAGGCAATAAAAAAAGCCTTATTTTTTTTAAAGGAATGAAACCTATGCCCACCAAACTGGCAGACAAGCCTGTTAGCCACTGAGACAGTACAGCTCCCAGATATAAAAGACAAGACATCTTTCACCACACCTGCTTGCTACCTTTGCTGGAAGGCACTCACTCAGAGACATGTGCTGGTACTTACCCAGTCAGAGATTTGCTGAAAGGTACTCACTCGGGGACATGTGCTGGTACTCACCCAGTGAGAGATTTGCTGGCAGGTACTCACTCAGGGACATGTGCTGGTACTTACCCAGTCAGAGATTTGCTGGAAGGTACTCACTCAGGGACATGTGCTGGTACTCACCCAGTGAGAGATTTGCTGGCAGGTACTCACTCAGGGACATGTGCTGGTACTTACCCAGTCAGAGATTTGCTGGCAGGCACTCACTCAGGGACATGTGCTGGTACTTACCCAGTCAGAGATTTGCTGGAAGGTACTCACTCAGGGACATGTGCTGGTACTTACCCAGTCAGAGATTTGCTGGAAGGCACTCACTCAGGGACATGTGCTGGTACTTACCCAGTCAGAGATTTGCTGGCAGGTACTCACTCAGGGACATGTGCTGGTACTTACCCAGTGAGAGATTTGCTGGAAGACACTCACTCAGGGACATGTGCTGGTACTTACCCAGTGAGAGATTTGCTGGAAGACACTCACTCAGGGACATGTGCTGGTACTTACCCAGTCAGAGATTTGCTGGAAGGCACTCACTCAGGGACATGTGCTGGTACTTACCCAGTGAGAGATTTGCTGGAAGACACTCACTCAGGGACATGTGCTGGTACTTACCCAGTGAGAGATTTGCTAGAAGGTACTCACTCAGGGACATGTGCTGGTACTTACCCAGTGAGAGATTTGCTGGAAGGTACTCACTCAGGGACATGTGCTGGTACTTACCCAGTCAGAGATTTGCTGGCAGGCACTCACTCGGGGACAAGTGCTGGTACTTACCCAGTCAGAGATTTGCTGAAAGGTACTCACTCAGGGACATGTGCTGGTACTCACCCAGTGAGAGATTTCTGGCACAGCTCCAGCTGTTCCAGCAGATGAGGCAGCAGCTGCATTAGAGTCTCATCTCCAACACAGCACTGCACCACGTTGGGAGTCTCATGGGCTCGAGTCATGATCTTCACCCACGACTTGTCAATGTTGCTGAACCGTTTGGCTTCCTAGGTGATAAATGCAATATCAGTGTCAAATCTTCCGTCATATCAAGGCTTCAACAATATGCTTTTCTGTGTCTGCATGGTAATTAGTACACTTACTTACAATAGACAGGCCCAGGTTCAGCTCCAGCATTGGGTTCTGATTGGATGAAGTCATCTGAAGCACACTGCTAGAAGTTTATAGATAACTGACAATTCCACTACTTATCAACACACAGAATACAATAAATCATTTACAGGAATGCTGGAACAAAATATGTTCTGTTTATTTTACTTCATGCAGATATTTTAGAGTCTCAGCTAGTGGAACCATTCTGTGGGGTTTGGAAAAGATTAGCCCAATTCTGAGCCATTTTAAATCATGTACAACAACTTGTTGTTGAGCGTTTATTGCTCATTTTAAAGATCATCTACATCGCAAATCAGACATGACAATAAGTTTTCCGATCTCCTCCAGAGTATGTCTCCAAGTTTCTTTAGGCTAACAACTCCCATTCTGTTCTGACTGATGTAACGAAGGGTGGCTTCTGAATGGTTTTCCTGTCTTGCAGCTCCAGTTGGTTAACACAGATAAGCAGTCTGTTCAGTGAAAAATAATCTATATATATATAAAAATCAATGTTTGTGTGTTTGTTTGCCCCCTATAGACTCGGAAACTACTGAACCGATTTAGCTGAAATTTTCAGGATATGTTTGTTTTGATACCGGATTTTGAACCATCATGGTTTGAAATTCACCCTGTCACTGTTAGAGATAGGTGACCACAATTTAAGCCATAATATTCACAACTAATATTTATAACTTTAGTGATTTCTAATTATAGCCACGTTAGTAATTGCGCATGCGCCGTAGTTATCATTCGCCGGCGAGTTACGTGCAGCCAACGCCTTCTCTAATACATAGAGTAGGTCGTGGTACAGCAAACAAGACTATCTCTATATTTGCCACAATAACCATATTAAACACGATTTCTATTTTCTGTTTTTTTTTTCAAACAACCTTCAATTGGGGAGGGAAGAGGGGGGGGGGGGCAATCAAGGACTATCTCTACGTCGGCGCAGACATTGACTGCGACATTAACTTCATTAACGGTGTTAGACACGTGCGATTTCTATTGTTGTGCCGTTTCATTAATATATCTGGAGTATCTGTCTACGAGAAAACAATTGCCTGAGGTTTTGAATTCTATTTTAATCGCGACACAGTAGTAGGGACACACATCTCTAATAATTTTGCTATGGATAATTTTTCAATCCTTCGGAGAGGGAGATATGACTGGGTCGAGTGAAGAGGAGGGGGGGGGGGGGGGGGGGGGGGGGGGGGAATATGACAAGACACTGTTAGCTATTTTCTTTCCTCTACATTTCACTATTCTGGGCCACAGCAATGCGTGGCCGGGTACAGCTAGTTTCTTATAAAACTGAAAGCCTCACAGCATTTAGTTTCTTGATGATGTCTCTCCTGTCCATAGATGGCTCATTCCTGATAGTCACACTGTCAGACAGAGAATCTGCTCTCTCATTGCCTTTTACACCAGCATAACCTGAAACATGACGATGGAGGTGATGGCAGTGATGCAAGTGTTCGCCTGGCTCGAAACACAAAATTCCACTCGCGTATGTATACTCAGTGATTCAATTAGTATGATCCAGAGGGTTCAGGCAGGTTTGGTGTGAAAACAATGGCTTGAATCATAACAGAATTCCACTGTGCGTGGAGTCACCTTTATTTTTGTTCGGGGAGACTCAGGCATCGATGGAAATGAAAGAGCTGTAAGGTTGGCTGGATCCGCTATCCCTATCGACGATCAGACCATGGATCATGCTGATATTATTAATGCCATCAGACAAATGGGAAGGATAGAGGACTTTGGGGGCAGTGAATCCACATCCCTCGCCAGAATGGCAGACTTGGGAATCAAGATCGGCATAGAAAAAAATGAGACACACACCAGACACACCAGAAGACTTATTAATCAACACAGAACTGGTACTATTAGCCATCGGACGTTGCGGTTCATACTGAGGGGAGGATCTGAGCACCTATGGACATGTCCGGAGTGCAATGATGATAACCCAACTAACTAAGTAACTAATGCCCTGAAACAAAAGTGAAGCTGATTTTGCAAAAGGCTAGTGGATGTATTAGATGGATCTTCCTTTCGCTGAGCAAATGTGCATTAATGAATTTCTGAGTTTTCAGCCATTCTAGGGCTGTTGCAGCCACAACCTCCATTGTCCTGTTGCTGGTGTTAGAAGCAAAGGCTCCACTGTCTTCTTTGATGACTTTCCCTTTGGTTATTGCCATGAAAGCCCATGCACTTGCTTCTGATGAATCACAGAGCCATCTGTTTATATAACAGCCCCTTCCAGTTCCTCTATCAATGCTTTCACTTCTGCATCAACCATTGGTGGTGCCAAATCATAGCACTGTCTTGTCAGGGTGATAACCACCACGAAGTACTGCTTGTATTCATTTATAGGATGGGTATCCATTCTTCTCCACGGTTTATGTCTTGAAGAGAAATCACCAGTTGAAGTACTGTCTCTGCATATCCCAACCAAGACTGGCCTTGTTAAAGTTCTGTCTCTGCCCAGCCCAACCAAGACTGGCCTTGTTAAAGTTCTGTCTCTGCCCAGCCCAACCAAGACTGGCCTTGTTAAAGTTCTGTCTCTGCACATCCCAACCAAGACTGGCCTTGTTAAAGTTCTGTCTCTGCACATCCCAACCAAGACTGGCCTTGTTAAAGTTCTGTCTCTGCACATCCCAACCAAGACTGGCCTTGTTAAAGTTCTGTCTCTGCACATCCCAACCAAGACTGGCCTTGTTAAAGTTCTGTCTCTGCACATCCCAACCAAGACTGGCCTTGTTAAAGTTCTGTCTCTGCACATCCCAACCAAGACTGGCCTTGTTAAAGTTCTGTCTCTGCTCAGCCCAACCAAGACTGGCCTTGTTGAAGTATTGTCTCTGCACATCCCAACCAAGACTGGCCTTGTTAAAGTTCTGTCTCTGCACATCCCAACCAAGACTGGCCTTGTTAAAGTTCTGTCTCTGCACATCCCAACCAAGACTGGCCTTGTTAAAGTTCTGTCTCTGCACATCCCAACCAAGACTGGCCTTGTTAAAGTTCTGTCTCTGCACATCCCAACCAAGACTGGCCTTGTTAAAGTTCTGTCTCTGCACATCCCAACCAAGACTGGCCTTGTTAAAGTTCTGTCTCTGCACATCCCAACCAAGACTGGCCTTGTTAAAGTTCTGTCTCTGCACATCCCAACCAAGACTGGCCTTGTTAAAGTTCTGTCTCTGCACATCCCAACCAAGACTGGCCTTGTTAAAGTTCTGTCTCTGCCCAGCAGAACCAAGTCTGGCCTTGTTGAAGTTCTGTCTCTGCACATCCCAACCAAGACTGGCCTTGTTAAAGTTCTGTCTCTGCTCAGCCCAACCAAGACTGGCCTTGTTGAAGTATTGTCTCTGCACATCCCAACCAAGACTGGCCTTGTTAAAGTTCTGTCTCTGCACATCCCAACCAAGACTGGCCTTGTTAAAGTTCTGTCTCTGCACATCCCAACCAAGACTGGCCTTGTTAAAGTTCTGTCTCTGCACATCCCAACCAAGACTGGCCTTGTTAAAGTTCTGTCTCTGCTCAGCCCAACCAAGACTGGCCTTGTTGAAGTATTGTCTCTGCACATCCCAACCAAGACTGGCCTTGTTAAAGTTCTGTCTCTGCACATCCCAACCAAGACTGGCCTTGTTAAAGTTCTGTCTCTGCACATCCCAACCAAGACTGGCCTTGTTAAAGTTCTGTCTCTGCACATCCCAACCAAGACTGGCCTTGTTAAAGTTCTGTCTCTGCCCAGCAGAACCAAGTCTGGCCTTGTTGAAGTTCTGTCTCTGCACATCCCAACAAAGACTGGCCTTGTTCAAGTCTGGGACTTTATGTGTATTCAGTTCATCGTGCAGTGGGTGTATACAGACTTCAGTGATTTTGAAGTAGGCACATACTTGGCGCATTTCAAGCCTGCTATTTATATCTGGAAGATCTAAATTTCTTTTTGTGTGTGTGTCCCCGCTTTCCTCAATCCCTTTATTCCCCGTCTCAGTACCTCTTATTTCTTTCAGGATGTGTAAAATATTGCACAATCTATTTCACTTTGTTATAAATATGAGAACTTAAAATCAGAATCATATGTTCCAGTTTTTAACAGGGCTACCAAAGTGAAAACATGATCTCACCTTTGGCAGTTGCTTGGCAATATCTCCGCCCACAAAGACTGCTTCTAAGTACACCCACAGGTTCTGAACGGTCATCCAGTTTTCAATGATTTCTGATGAGTTAGTCAAATTGGCAACCCAAGTTTGGATACTTTTTTTGAAGGGAGCATTGTATCTGGCAAACAATAACAAATAAGTTTGATTAGTATTCACACACAGTTCAGAAATACTTCTTCAAGTTCAGTGTGATTCTATAAGCAATTTTATTGTATGTTTTTATTCGGGGTGTTCTTTGTGAAAATCTGTGTACATAATGCAGGCACTATCTGGGAAAATGGCCTTATTTATTTGGTCCTGAAACAAAGTCTTTCCTAGCCAAAGCTAGACAGTTCTGTTTGTCTGTTTTTACTTTTTTAAATACTTCTTTAAAGATGGTGTAGACAAATAGTTTTGCTGGACAGTGTATAGCAGTAAATAAAATAAACAGTTTTGCTGGGCAGTTTATAGCAGTAAATAAAATAAACAGTTTTGCTGACTCATTTATGGCCTAAAATAAAGTTAAAAGTTGAGAGGATTGACTTCATGGCACCGGGTTTTATCCCAAATGGCTCAGTTTCTCTCCGCAGAATGGCTAGCAAACTGCTGAGAGCGCTGAGCACAGCACGAACTCCATAGCTCTGGCAATGATCATCAGGGACCTCCATAGAAAACTACACTCCTGAATTGAAGGGCGCAGCTGTGGATGGCCTCAAATAGCAAGCATGATCTCCCCACAGTACCAAATGAAAGTTTGAAGAACTACAATAGCAATGTCTCTCTTACTGACAGAACATTCACCCACACATCCTTATTTCTCTCACCTGTTGCTAAGAAGTGAGCTAAGAACCATCAAGGAATCTTCCATAAGGGAGATAATCTCACTAGTTGAATCCCCTCGAAGCAGGAGCTCTCCTCTGTTTTTGAAGTTACCAAAAGTGAACTCTTTGGTTCCCCAGTCGGTGACCACCTGCTTCAGTTTGGCTTCGATATCCTTCTCCTTAACCGCACTGATACAAATGTCCTGAGTGGCAATAAGTTGAAAATGCAATCAGTAAAATCAAGATTACAAAAAATATCATTGCAAGTAAAATGAAGTTTACTGTACTATTACAAATCATGAAGGACTACTAGCAACAATCCTAAATACTACAACCACTATCATCACAATTACTGGCAATATAATCTTACTAAACTCCAAACTGGCAGTCTTCTTCTTCTTTCGTTCGCCTGAAATAAGTAGTCTATATCAGCAATTTTGTCTCTTGTAAAAATTTCACTGTTGTTGTTAATTCATTCAGTGGTCCATAGAGTTTACGTTCCACTGTTGTTCTTTCTGGCCAAAAGGTTTGCCTTAATGTGTAAAACAAACTGGCAGTATAATCTGTCTAAATGCTAAAGTGGCAATATAATCTGACTAAACACTAAACTGGCAATATAATCTGACTAAATGCTAAACTGGCAATATAATCTGACTAACTGGCAATATAATCTGACTTCACGCTAAACAGGCAATATAATCTGACTAAATGTTAAACTGGCAATATAATCTGACTAAACGCTAAACTAGCAATATAATCTGACTAAACGCTAAACTGGCAATATAATCTGACTAAACACTAAACTGGCAAAATAATCTGACTAAACATTAAACTAGCAATATAATCTGACTAAACACTAAACAGGCAATATAATCTGACTAAATGTTAAACTGGCAATATAATCTGACTAAACGCTAAACTAGCAATATAATCTGACTAAACGCTAAACTGGCAATATAATCTGACTAAACACTAAACTGGCAAAATAATCTGACTAAACGTTAAACTAGCAATATAATCTGACTAAACACTAAACTGGCAATATAATCTGACTAATCGCTAAACTGGCAATATAATCTCTGACTAAACGCTAAACTGGCAATATAATGTGACTAAACACTAAACTGGCAATATATTCTTACTAAACACTAAACTGCCAAAATAATCTTACTAAACGCTAAACTGGCAATATAATGTGACTAAACACTAAACTGGCAAAATAATCTGACTAAACGTTAAACTAGCAATATAATCTGACTAAACACTAAACTGTCAATATAATCTTACTAAACACTAAACTGCCAATATAATCTGACTAAACACTAAACTGGCAATATAATGTGACTAAACACTAAACTGACAATATAATCTCTGACTAAACGCTAAACTGGCAATATAATCTGACTAAACACTAAACTGGCAATATATTCTTACTAAACACTAAACTGCCAATATAATCTTACTAAACACTAAACTGGCAATATAATCTGACTAAACGCTAAACTGGCAATATAATCTGACTAAACACTAAACTGTCAATATAATCTTACTAAACACTAAACTGCCAATATAATCTGACTAAACACTAAACTGGCAATATAATGTGACTAAACACTAAACTGGCAATATAATCTGACTAAACACTAAAATGGCAATATAATGTGACTAAACACTAAACTGGCAATATAATCTGACTAAACGCTAAACTGGCAATATAATCTGACTAAACACTAAACTGGCAATATAATCTTACTAAACACTAAACTGCCAATATAATCTGACTAAACACTAAACTGGCAATATAATGTGACTAAACGCGAAAACCTACTTCAATTTCTTCCTTATACTTGAGCAATGGGGCCTCTAAAATGTTGCGAAGTGTAAAGTTTTCACTCTCAATGTCAAAGTGGTGTCCAGTGACATCAGACATTCTCTGCCAGTGTCGCTGTTTCATTGCCTTGTTGGACATCAGCTCCAGCAAAGGTACCATCTCGTTGAAGTTGTCAATTGTTTTTTTCAGGTCCTCAAATGCTGGCCAGTCTTTCAGAGCACGAGGCAGTTTGCGACATCTGTCAAATGGTACATGGCATTTTATGTGATATCAGTGTGTGGAAGAAGTCATAATCAGCGTCATAAAATCATCTCCTTTTGCCAAAAGTAACTCACCAAGTGTAACTGTCTACTCGTCATGACAACCAAACTGTCTGCCAATGAACCAATCAGGTGTGATCTCCACAATCTGTTCTACATCTTCTTCTACTTAGTATTCACCAGTTATAAACTCCAGCATCAAGTTCTGATTGTTTTTGTACATATTTCCAGACACTATTTTGGCTTGTCTTGTCTTTTTTTATAATTATTTTGATACCTTTGTCTATTCTCCCATTTTGACTATATTGTTGCCTGGATAGGCATTTGATCCCTCTTTGATGTGGTTCAGATATAAATCAGTGAAGGACCCTTTTGAAGCCAATGGTGCATTAGATATATGATTTTGGACTCAAATTTTTATCGAGCAGTCTGGCTTTGGGTGGATTGTTGGAGGAATCAGGTCAACCACTTTTACTTCCCAAGATATTTCCCATTACCTATTTTAGGTCAACTATTAAACTAGTTCCATACTGAAATAGATAAATATTACATTTTTTAAATTTAAAACAATCAGCTGTTACGCACACAGTTTTATCTCACCTGTTCTGAAACTCTTGTAATTCATTGTTGATCTTTTCAATGTTGACATCCTGCCAGAGTATGTCATAGTAGCCGTGAACTGTGTCGATGACACTGTTGTAGAGACCGTAGAGCTTCTGCAACAGGTTCAGTTCTTTCTTTATTTGCATCAGCTTGGGATAGCTGGACACCTGTTGGAATATTTGTTGGTCAGATAATAAGAAGCAAGGGCAAAGAATCTTTTACAAAATGTGATATATCTTTAATCAACAAGTCCTGCCAGACAGTGAAACATCATTAACACAAATTAGAAGTTTAAAGAATAACAGAGCACTTAGTGGTTACTACCTGTGTGCCATGAAGTTAATCCGTTGTTCAAACCTCAAACCTCATTGACACAAATTCCAAGCAACCAAAATGTGATATATTAAATCTGTAATCAACAAGTCCTCACATACAGTGAAACTATTTAACTGTTAATTATATTCCTTACGTCCTTCTTAGGACGTTATTTTTTGTTATTTGAAGCCCCACTCTGGCTTTTGCCAGGGGCCGCAATATAGGCGGGTCATTATTATGGCCAAATGTCTGAACGCGGTTTCTGGGACCTCTCCACGGTGATCCTCATCCGCATGGTGGCACTTTGTGTCATCGGGTGTTTATCGCTTGTGTGATGTCCTGGTGGGGTAAAAAACCAATCCAATCCAACTGTTAATCAACAAGTCCTCACATACAGTGAAACCATTTAACTGTTAATCAACAAGTCCTCACATACAGTGAAACTATTTAATTGTTAATCAACAAGTCCTGACATACAGTGAAATTATTTAATTGTTAATCAACCAGTCCTGACATACAGTGAAACCTCATTAACACAAATTCCAAGGGACTGAAAAATCATGAATTTGTATAAGAAAAATTTGTGCTTACTAGGGTCTTAAAAATGTATTATAAATAATACGTCCCTGCTGGGACCAACCTTTTGTTCATGTTAATGCAATGTTTTTCTTCAGTGAGTTTGTATTAACAAGGTTTTACTGTGTATAAACTGTAAGCTTATTTGGCAGGCTATGAATTCATATCTCCTACTGTTTCTAGCAGTAGTTCTAAATTTTGCACAAATAATGTTCTGTTTAATCATCAGGGTTATAACTGGGATATTCAGTGTCCATTGTATTTTCAGTGTATTCTTTTGACATCCTAACATTTGTTAGCACTCTACAAGCTCTTGCTGTCTTTTGTATTATTTTACAATCTACCCCCCATTCCTAATTTTTGTCTACTTTGCTAACTAGTTAAGTTCATCATTCTATTTCTTGAAGTGGAGTCCTAGTGGTACTATTATGAAAGTGATAAACACTAGATAATTAAATGTAAAGCAGTGAATTAGAAAAGTTAAAAAACAAAGGTTAAGTGAGAGGACTAACCTAATTACACCGGGTTTTATCCTATATGGCTCAAACTCTGACTGCAGAATGGCTAACCGCTAGCAGAGAGTGTTGCACATAGTATGAACATCGTAGCTCCAGCGATGATCACCAGGGGTCTCCATACAATCTGTACTTATGAATCTAACAATACAGCCATAAAAGAAATCCATTACCATCATAGAACAAGGCAAATGCCGTGACCACTTCACCATGGAGATACCTAGTATACAGAGCTATATTGCCTGAAAGCAATACTAGAGGGAAGTGTGGACAGCAGACCTGCTAGCAGAAGATAATAGTTTCAATAAAGACTGGAGAGAGACAGAATGCTGGAAATCCGTCTCAGCTGATTCTTGTTATGGAAATGTCAACTAACTGGATCTACTGAGTCAGGTCATTACAAGTTATTACATAACAACAGCGACTACAAACCTGTAAACCAAACAGCTCCTCTCCCCCAGTGTAGGTGGTGTATTTTCTCTGCAGGGTGTCAAATATGTTCTGGTAGACAATCAGCCTATCAGAAGCTTCCCGTGGAGGAACTCCAGCCACCATTGGTCCTTTCTGAAATGTGTCACAAGTTGCATGTTGTGTGAATAGCATTGTGTTTTAGTATTACATTCTGGATATGAAATTATTCAGATTCATTTAAACTTCAGAATTAGGTTCATGAGTTACCTCAGAAAAGTTGTGTCTACATGAAAATGATGACACCAAAATGGCTCCTGAGTTACCTCAGAAAAGTTGTGGCTACATGAAAATGATGACACCAAAATGGCTCCTGAGTTACCTCAGAAAAGTTGTGGCTACATGAAAATGATGACACCAAAATGGCTTTATAAAAGCCACCATATTGTAATGGAACCTTTCCCCCTCCCCATGCTATCTTTAGTCAACATATTCAATGCTGGCCTCCTGAACAATAACAGTAAACTAAAGGTCCCTTTCCCACGCCTTTAGGTGTATTGGGTATATAGGGCTAGACCTATGTTTGTTTAGATAAATCGGCACTTGATGGGTGATGTGGTCAGCATCATGCTGGCCGCCTTTACTTCCCAGGACTGCACCTGGTACCCACTCAAGGCTGGGTCCACCTGGGAGTCAAAGTCATTTTTGAAAAAAGTCCCACTCTGTCAGGACATGAACCCAACACCTCCGATCCGCAGGCAGGCATTTAGCCACCTATGCTATGGCAAATGACCTCCTGAACACTGTGCAGGTCTAAACAGAACCAGTGGTATTTAGGCTCCTTGAGGACAAGCCACTGGAAAAAAAGGTGAACAGCATTTACAGGAATGAGTCACGGACAGAAATGCCTGGTTTAGGCTCCTTGAGGACAAGCCACTGGAAAAAGGTGAACAGCATTTACAGGAATGAGTCACGGACAGAAATGCCTGGTTTAGGCTCCTTGAGGACAAGCCACTGGAAAAAGGTGAACAGCATTTACAGGAATGAGTCGCGGACAGAAATGCCTGGTTTAGGCTTCTTGGGTATCGGGGTTAAAGAATGATGTAATCTGCAATATACTTTCTTCCCAGTTCACAACAGCTTCCGTCAGTTCAGTTGATGCTACCTGACTATTTACAGATGAGTTTTATCTATAATGTTCTACAAGAGAAAAATCCTTTGAAATTGAAAATTATTATATTTAAGATAATGCAGAATTTATTAAATACCTGTTTATCTATTGTTACATTATACAGGAAATTGTAGGCCAATAAAGAAAAAAAAGTCTTTCATTTCTACCCACCTCATCATAACTTTTGTAGAAGTTTTCACAATCAACTTTGAAAACTTTGACATCTTTAATCAGCTCTTGCTTGAAACCAGGCTGCACTGTTATCAGATGGTCCTGCACCTCAATGGCGTGTGCTTGCAAACGTTCCCAGGAATACCGCAAGGTGTCACATTTCTCAACTTCCTCCTTCTCTGGCTTCAGCTCATGTTTGTTCAGCATCGCATACGACTCCTGATGAAGACAATAAACATTACACCGACTGCGGCACAAGAACATTACTGGAGAACTAACTTACAAGGTCAAGGTAAACAACATTATTTCCATTCCATGATAACATTCTGAGCGTATGGCACTACAATTAACCATGGACCAAATGGTATTTAACAAGTTCAGCATCAAAGTGACCTCCAAGAAAGAATGTGGAGATAACAAGAAAGGACTTGGTGTCACTGGCCAAAAACTTGGAGCTTCTCTTGGTGGCACTCCACCTAAAACCTGGGTCCTCAGGAGAACATTTCCTATCATGCCTATCTACAGATGTGACATTCTGATTCCAATTCTTGTACACCCCATTAGAGTTTGTAGTGAAGAAAAGCACTGCATCACAGTCACCATGGAGATGGTACAATACTGGGTCAGAAGACAAGTTTTTACATCAACATCTCTCTGATAGATGCCAGCTTTGTTCAAATACTGGACTTGAGATTTGAAGCTCACAGTTTTCCAGAGGATTCAAAACCAAAGACCAGCCTTATCTGAGATAACAATAAGGGTCATCGATGGATAGGAGAGCCATCATCACTGTCATAAGAGAGAAAGAAAAAAAACGCCATGAGGTTTTCAATTTCATGGAAAATAATTCTTCACTAAATAGACTGCATATCCTGGGTGTGCCAACTGAGGCAGTGATACAAGAAACTATGTGGGAGCCACCCTAGATTACATCAGTTTGACAAAGAATGGGAGTTGTTAGCCTAAAAACACTTAGAGACATAGGAGGAGATCAGAACACACGATGATGTCAGATCTGTGATGAAGATAATTTTTCATTGAACAATGAGATAACAATAAACACTGCATATCCCACTTAAATAAAAGGATTAAATAAGACATTACCTAACAAACAGAACAAAAGGAAACAAGTAGTAAAATAATCACCTCAATGGGGCCGATACTCATATCAATTCTGATTTCATTCTCTCGGATGTCCTTGAGGGCTGCCATAGCAAATCGAATGTCATCCAAATCTTTGATTGGATGGGACAAACGCTTGCTCAGATCTTCAATGAAGCGGAAAATGTCTTCCATCTGTGTTTTGTATTTGTTGCTGCAGTATTTCCCGTATGTCATGCGCCATGTCTTTGTTTCATTGGTCAGACCAATTTTCAGATGTTCTGTTTTTACAAGACATAGAATAAATTATGGTTCGAGTTGAAATATTTACAGTAAATCAAAAAAGAAAGAACAATTATTGAACAAATTTGTAGTTTTAATTACACACGTTTTGCTGCAACTGACAACAGAATGCTGCCTAAATTACAGATTTATTCACAGCTGCCAGGTTTTAACCTAGATAAGCCAAATGAAACTACTTCATTATTTAATATGTGTGTGTGTGTGCGTGCGTGCATGTGTGTGTGCATGCGTGCATGGGTGCATGCGTGTATGTGTGTGTGTGTGTGTGTTACAAAATAATTCTTACTCAAAAGACAGTGACAGATTGACACATTTTGGCACAGATTTAAAATGTTTTTGCCTGTAACATCAGGTTCTGTATCACAGCCATAGTCCTGACTTCTGCATTGTTCTGACAAACAATTGGAGCAAACGGATGATCATATGGGAAACCCCAGGTGGTAACTGTTTGTTGTCCCAACTAATTCTTATTCTCTCTTGACGACAGTTTATGGTAGCGACAGTTTATGGTAACGACAGTTTATGGTAACAACAGTTTATGGTAACGACAGTTTATGGTAGCGACAGTTTATGGTAATGACAGTTTATGGTAACGACAGTTTATGGTAACGACAGTTTATGGTAACGACAGTTTATGGTAACGACAGTTTATGGTAACGACAGTTTATGGTAACAACAGTTTATGGTAACAACAGTTTATGGTAACAACAAATTATGGTAACGACAGTTTATGGTATCGACAGTTTATGGTAACGACAGTTTATGGTAATGACAGTTTATGGTAACGACAGTTTATGGTAACGACAGTTTATGGTAACAACAGTTTATGGTAACGACCGCTTATGGTAACGACAGTTTATAGTAACGACAGTTTATAGTAACAACAGTTTATGGTAACGACCGTTTATGGTAACGACAGTTTATGGTAACCATTATTTTTAAAATCATCATCTATTTAATTTGATCAGTGTAGAGAAAACCAAACAGATGATATAATTACTTTAATAAATCTTTGTGCATTCATCAACCATTGTTAAAGTTATTGGTATTTCTAGATATGCGTATGGTGTCAGTCTAGTGTTATCTATCAATATACCTCTGCTAGATGGGAGCCTAATTTAAAGAGCAGAAAGGGAAGACGTCGGGAAGGGTAATCTGCTCTGTCTAAGTGTATGTGTTCTCTAGGCATCTTCATTCCCTTTATCCTTTTCTGGGGATAATCAGGCAGCTCACTTTTTAACACAAGCCGATTCGAGTCTATATATGGGTATCCAGGGACACTGTCTGCTCTTTGCATCACAAGACAGCTGTCTTGGTTTTTCATTTATGATAGATGTTACCAAAGAAGTGAAGGCTCAGACAACTTATCAAAAACATCAGAAAGAGACAGTCGTCATTCTGTGGTCACGTTATGAGAAGAAGGAAACTGGAACATGTTGTGACAGCTGCAAAGATGTGTGGAATGAGAGACAGGGGAACACAACGCAAGAGGATTCTTGACAGCCTTTTGTCATGGTATCAACACACCAAATAAGAATGCAGTTGCAGATCACAGATTGTGGAGAGGCATGATCGTCCATGCCAGTCAGCAAGGCACTTTATGATGATGTAATAAATTCTATGCAGGATCTCAACCTAGACTGCTAGAAATATGTTATGATGCAGACGAGATAAGACAGACAGGGAATGTGAACATTTGCTTTTCTTTTTATAAGGTAAGTTAAGACTAGCAGGGGGAATATATGTTTTTTTGCTTTTATAGTGAATAAAAAGACAAGACACACAGAGTACAAGTATATATTTGCTATTTTAATGATGAGACAAAGCACTGGATCACTAACCAGTATACACAGCTATTGGACCCGCATCGTAATACTCTGGAAGGCTGTTGATTTCCACTTCTAGATCCTCAAAGCCTCGAATGGCAGCCTCAAAATCTGACAGCCTCGGCTCTTCTTTCATGAACTCCTCCATCACTACTTCACGATCTCGCTCCCAGATTTTGTGATAGTTAGCAAACTGGTCAAGAGCTGTGTTCACTTCCTGTAAAAAAAAACAGTTTAAAAGCAAAGCAAGTTATTCCCCGCCAAACCTCACATTAAAAATAAATAACAAAACATATTACAATTTTCAATTCCAGTTATTTTGTAAAATGATGTTTTCCCTTTACATAGTTGAATATGAAGCTAAGATACAGGGAAAACATCACAATCATCAGAAAGAGACAACCATACATTTATTTTTGGAAAGGGGGAGGGGTGGGGTGGGAGGGAGTTGTGATGAACAGAAAAAAAGTTGGAACATGGTAAAGCAGATGGAGAGATTTATGTAAAAAAGAGATCAAGGAAGAAAGTGAAAGAATCCTGTTTTCGTGCCATGGAAAGATGTCAATGCATTAAGTGATACATTCTACTGGAGATTTTGAGGTTTATAGAGGCTTGATGTCCATGCCAAACAGACAGACCTTGATGAAGATTACAAAGTTATGGTAATGTGGTATGATAGGTTTAGAAATCTGGCCAAAAACTCGAGTTCTTACAGAAACAAACAAAACAGTCCTGGCTATGAAAATCTAACATGCTTTTATTATATTCTAGAATGGCTACAGCAGCATACGGAGGAAATCTGAAGGAGAAGGATCCACATTTCTGGGAGAAGCTAGTTCTAGTTTCAAACAAGAGACATTAACATTTAAACACTGGTGGATATAGGACATAGAGGATGACAGCAATAATGATGATGGCAAAAATGATGACCCCAATAGTGATGGTAATAATGGTGATGGTAATAATGATGATGGCAATAATGATGCTAATAATGATGGTGATAATGGTAATAGTAAATCTGAAGTTTTTGATTGATGGCAGTAGAAATGATGACAGAAATGATGATGCTGAAGATGATGCAATCACAGATGTTTGATTCCATACCACAGCATATCGTACACATGACTACGCCAGCTATATTCCCCACACCTCATACTTTACTCCTAGATCCCACCTATCCCCCACACTTGATCTTACCCCTACACCTCACCCCACACTTACCCTCCCACCACACTTACCCTCCCACCACACTTACCCTCCCACCACACTTACCCTCCCACCACACTTACCCTCCCACCACACTTACCCTCCCACCACACTTACCCTCCCACCACACTTACCCTCCCACCACACTTACCCTCCCACCACACTTACCCTCCCACCACACTTACCCTCCAACCACACTTACCCTTCAACCACACTTACCCTCCCCCACACTTACCCCCCCCCCACTTACCCCCCCACACTTACCCTCCCCCCACACTTACCCATCACACTTACCCTCCCCCCACACTTACCTTCCCCCACACTTACCCTCCCCCACACTTACCCTCTCCCACACTTACCCTCTCACCACACTTACCCTCCCACCACACTCCCCCCCCCCCCCTTCCCCATACCTCACCTTCTTGTTGGAGTTGATGCTTGTAGACAGCAGAGACACCAGTCTGGTGATGTCATTATTCTCTGTAACTGACTTGAGATAATTTTTTGGCTGCTGGACTATCACGTAACTCTTCAGGGACTCATTGCCATCAGTCTTTCTCCCATAGGAGTCTAAGTGAGATGCTTCTGAAGGTGCGTTGCTGATGATGCTGGCTCTGCGCTCCATTCCTTCAGCGACTGTAGGCGGGAAGTCTACAAGAGCTGGCAAGTCGGTAAATAATAGTTTCATGTTAAAATATTCCAGCTGACATAAGGAGGTCTTTTTTTTTGCTATAGGAAACATATCCCGATGATAGTTGCTTGTTTGCATGATCTTCAAATTCAACAAAGCTGAGAAACATCTGTGTTACATTGAGGGTGTCTTTAGTTTCAAGAGAAAAGAAAGTTTAGATTGTTGCTCAGTACAACAAGCAGTTTTTAAAAAGTTTCCCTGTCTCAGCTATGGGCCCCCATTGTGGGATAAATAAAAAATAGACCCACTGCATGCCCCCCCCCCCCCCCACCCCATCAACAAGAATGTCGTGAAAGTCAATTAGGGGTCCTTTCTTCTAAGTCAGAGTGCATCTCCCTGAGAGCTGATAAACCAACAGTCTCAATTCAAATAAGCCAGATCTATCAAAATAGACGTGCAGGCAAACTCAAGTTCTGAAACAAGACTAAAGTCCAGAAGTGGACAACAAACTAGAACTTTCTACCGGAGTTTACACATGGTAAACATAAAGACAAAAAAAGGTTAAGTTAAGAATCATTTACGGAGCTCTGCAAAACCAACCCCAACATGTTGTGGCTGTTTGTGATTTTACTAGATAATTTCACATTCGATTATTTGCCATTCCTTCTGTATGGTCGGCTCTCCAAACATTTTTAAAATCAATGCAAGGTAGTCTGCTG